CCCCTCCTCGCCCCCCCCTCCCTCCTCGCCCCCCCTCCCTCCTCGCCCCCCCCTCCCTCCTCGCCCCCCCTCCCTCCTCGCCCCCCCTCTCTCCCTCGTTGCCCCCCCCTCTCTCCTCGCCCCCCTCTCTCCCTCTCTCCTCGCCCCCCCCTCCCTCCTCGCCCCCCCTCCCTCCTCGCCCCCCCTCCCTTCTCGCCCCCCCTCCCTCCTCGCCCCCCTCCCTCTTCGCCCCCCCTCTCTCCTCGCCCCCCTTCCCTCCTCCCCCCCCCCTCTCCTCGCCCCCCTCCCTCCCCCCACCTGGGCACGAGTGGAACGCTAATCGCAGGTGGAGTGCGCTCGCACCCTGTGAAAGCCGTCAGCGGTTTAGACGAGAATGGTGATGGCTCTCGCTCGGGCCTGGACTGCACCCAGCTGGAGGTGACCGGCGCCTCGACAGCCACCGCCCGGGCGCTCGCTCGTCCGCTCGTCCGCTCGTCCGCGTCGTCACCCGCCGCGGCCTCCGTCCACCCGACCACCCCTCGTCGCTCCCTAGCCAATGACCCCACAGCAGCCGCCGTTCGCCACCGCGTGACGGCGACGTCTCCCCCACGGCGCCTGTGCCAGGCCAGGTGCACTTTTGTGGGCCACGCGATAAGTGCCGCGGGGCTCGCTGACGGGAGGTCACCGGGGCCAAGAGAGCCGGGCGCCACTTGGGGGGGGGGGGGGGGGTTGACTGCCCGAGATGACCGGAGCAGATGCGTCGACCTGTTGCTGTGCCCCCCCCCCTCCTCTCGTCTCGAGCTCCACCACCTGGACGCGCAGTGGGGTCCTCACCGCCCCCCCCCCCCCCACCAAGGCACGCTCGTGGTTGTTCACGCTGCGTATCGGCGCATTTTGTCCCGCTCGCTTTCCATGCTGCAGCCTGTGCCCCCCCCCCCCAACACCACTCCACAACCCCCCCCAACACCTCCCTGTCCACGGGGGGGGTCGACTAAGATGTTGTGAACCCGTGACTTCCATCCTCACATCAGTGGTGATTTTTTATATATATAAACGCTCAAACTCTACCGTCATCGAGGCTTAAGTGGCTCAATCTTAGCCGGAGCTGTACGGGGCTGAGCTCTGGAAAATAACCCCCCCCTTCCGCCTTGATTCTTCCGCCGCCTACCACTCTCAAAGTAACTACTAGACTATTATACACTACAACACTATACACTACTATACACTACTACACTATACACTACTATACACTACTACACTATACACTACCATAAACTACTACACTATACACTACTACACTATACACTACCATAAACTACTACACTATACACTACTACACTATACACTACTACACTTTACACTACCATAAACTACTACACTATACACTACTATTCACTACACTATACACTACTACACTATACACTACCATAAACTACTACACTACACACTACTACACTATACACTACTATACACTATACACTACTAGACTCTAGCTCTTCCTGTGAAATTCCCAGACGTTCCAAGACCAGCCGTGCGACAGAGTCCTGCCAGCAGCGTGTCCTGAGCCGGCCCAGGGATCTAAATAACCACGATTCTGAAATAAATAAAGATTCTTATCACCGTCATCATCACCACCACCACCACTAGTCCCATCCTCTCTCGTACTCTGCAGGCCCCGTGTCATGCCACGGAAGTCGTCTGCTAACGAGTGTGTCGGGTGTCCCGCTGCCCAGAGGCTGGCCCCAGTGTGCACGTGCTCCAGCAGCCTCTTCGGGAGCTCTCAGGCGGTAATCGTCGTTGTAATTTAGTGGAGGCAGTAAACAAAAACAGAGAACGGGGAGTTCAAGCTGAAGGTACTAACAGCCCCCCGTGCGGTCCCTGTAACCGCAGCTCGTTCGCCTAAACGTCCGGCCGTTACTGCTCCTCCATGCGTTGCGGCATAAGCGAGCATTATAGTGTCCGTAAGACTTCGTTAAAGGGTTACTTTGCATTTTATAGCCTTTATCGGCGGGGCGACGGAGGGGGAATTGCAACTCGTTGTTTTACATAGCTGGGCGTGTAACTCATTCTACACGCCCCCCCCCCACCCCAATAAAATCTCAAGGCTTGGAGTCAAAGGGCAGAGAAGCCCTGTCACAGATGAGCCGCTGCGCTGACTTTGACTGCTGTTGGGGATCTCCTACCCAGTTTTTTTTCTCCACTGGCTCACCCCAGCCGAGCCACTACGTTCGCCCTCACGGTACGGGGGGTAGTGGTGGGGGGTGGGGGGGGGGTGAGCGGGGGGGGGCAGTTTCCACTGGCTCACAATGTCGTGTCGGGCCGAAACCAAACCGCGCCTCGCTGGCCTCACGAGACACGGGGGCCAAGCAGGGCCAGGGCTAATGGCGCGTTCGGTGCATGTTCAGAGTGCCGAGCCGAAACCAAACCGCGCCTCGCTGGCCTCACGAGACACGGGGGCCAAGCAGGGCCAGGGCTAATGGCGCGTTCGGTGCATGTTCAGCGTGCCGGGCCGAAACCAAACCGCGCCTCGCTGGCCTCACGAGACACGGGGGCCAAGCAGGGCCAGGGCTAATGGCGCGTTCGGTGCATGTTCAGCGTGCCGGGCCGAAACCAAACCGCGCCTCGCTGGCCTCACGAGACACGGGGGCCAAGCAGGGCCAGGGCATGTTCAGCACAGCTACGAGGGCACGGAGCCGCCGACGCGGCGGTGTCATCCGCACGCGTCTCGTCACATTCGTTGAGGGTGTGACGTCGGCAGGCACGGCTCTGCAGCGGGAAAGCAAAGAGCCGCGCCGGACTGGCTCGGCCAAGGCCTCCCGAGCGACCGCTCGGATGTTGTTCGTGGAAGACAAAGTGATTTTGCCCGGCTCGTTGCTTTGCTTGCGATTCATGGCCGTCGCTCGGATTCCCCCGTCAGCTGTCACGCGACGTACATTGGCCCTCCCGCCGCCGAGCAGATAGAGAACGGGGGGGCCTCGGTGTTGTCACGGTTACGCACAAAGGTTGTTTGTGCTCTCAGTCAAGACCGAAAAGAGACGCAAAAAAACTCCCCCCGCGACGAGACGACTCTAGGAATGTGATGAGCTATCATGTTCGGTTATTTGCAATTACTCAGGTTTTGTGTTTTTTCAAACTTGGAGCGTTGTGGTGAATTCGATTTCTTGATTGTTCCTTGCCAGTAGATCTCTTTATAACTCATCAGTGCTGCATACACACATACCAAGATTGCGTCTGATCACAATTCCGTCCTGTAGATTTGTTAATTGTGGGTGTATTTTGTACACTGGTAAAATACCTTACATCAAAAGTACCCTTTTAGAGAGAGAGAGATCATTTTACATCCCGTGACAACACATTAAAGGGGATGGCTTTTCTAGAGGTTATTACATCGAGATACGCATCTCGACACGGATGTCTGAGATCACTTCGTCGAGATGGATACATTTCTGAGATGGTTGTGCATCTCTACAACAGCTATCTGCGACAGCTGTTAACAGCAGCAGCAGCAGTCGTATCTCCATCCACACTTAATTAGCAGTACTAATTTGCAAAAAAAAAGATATACAATCTCGCATGCTTGGTGAATTTTATTTACCGCGTGCTGCGGATTATTGCGGTTGTTATTTCTCTTGTTTTATTAAGCAAAAGTTGTGAGTCCGTATTGCCAATCGTAGGTGTGCGTGCGTGCATGACACACACACAGTGTAACACAGAGAGCGTAACACACACACGCACAGAGTGACACACACACGCAGCGTTTGGACTTGCATACCTTTATTGTCAGCCACCAGTTTTTATTTTGGGCGGGGGAAGGTAGCGTCTTTACTTTCAGGAGCGTTTCATAATCCGGAGAATCCGCTCCGAGAAGATCGTCACGCTGCGACCCAGTCGATAATATAATCGGCCCTCTTGCTCATCAATGCGAGTGGACTGTATTCCTTCAAGCGTCCAGGTTATATCGTTTTTTTGTGTTGTTTAATATTTACACAACGCGTTTTTCCAGGAGACGTAACAACATCTGGTTGACGGGGGGCGGCGAAGAGTCAGTGCTCGCATGGCAATTGTCAAATCATACTTTATAAATCACACCAAGTGCCCATTGAGATTAAGACCAATTATCAAGGCGGATAAGGTTGGCCGAAAGGCAGGGATATAATCGGTGCTATTTATAGCTAATGAATTGGGGGCCTATAGGAGGAGTGACCGGTCTCTCTGCAGTGGTGAAAGGTGGCGTAAGTTAATGATTGTCCAGGTAAGCCTGGTGCTGTGTACGCAGCGTCATGGGCCATATAAACTGCGGCTTAAAAAGGGGCAGCCGCTAAAACAGCTGGGGGCTGAATCGAGCGGAGCGCGACGCGGGGGGAAGACTGCGCCTCGAACTCAAATCACAGCTGGCGGCTCCGCACACCTGACAGCAACATTTTTTTTTATATAAACCATTTATTTCCGTTGCACTTTAACAACAAAAGAAAAAGGCTCTTTTTGTTTTTGTTGCAAAGACCAGGTTTTTCTCACCACCATCACCCCCACCACCTCGTACGCAGGTGTTTTGCTCAAAAATTAAGATAATTAATTACGAATGTTGCCGTCACTGTCGAACGTGTCTGTCCCGTGACTCATTAGCCAGTTGGTTCAAAACGTTGCACCATCACGGCTGACAAGAAGGGGAGGCAGCAGACACCGAGCGATTTCGTCGAAGCGGTTTTGGTCATTCGTGTTATCCGCGCTATTGAGGAGGGTTGAGGGCACCGCTTCCAACGCGGTCTCACGCGGCCAGTTTCATCCGAGGTGCGGCCGGGCAGACCCTTGGAGAGGGGTCAGGGGGTGGGCGAGACACCAAATCTTCTCTCTTGAAACAAACAAGCAAACCCCAATGTCAGAGGTCAAAGTCCCGCTGGAGGATGTGGAGAAGCAGCAGCAGCAGGAGGAGGGCAGCGGCGGCGGCTACGGGCGCGGGACGAGAGAGGAGGAGGAGGCGGCGACGAGGCCTCGCGTGAGCCGCAGCATCTTCGTGTCCACAGTGACCCCGGGGGTGGAGCGCGCCCGCCTCTTCCTAAGCGACGAGGGCGATGGAGCGCCCCCGCCGCAGCTCTTCACCGAGCTGGACGAGCTGCGCCCCAGCCACGACGGCCAGGACATGGAGTGGAAGGAGACGGCCAGGTGAGTGAAACTTCGCGGTGCGCCGCGGTTGAGGGAAACTTCTCGGTGCGCCGGGGTTGAGGGAAACTTCTCGGTGCGCCGGGGTTGAAGGCAACTTCTCGGTGCGCCGGGGTTGAGGGCAACTTCTCGGTGCGCCGGGGTTGAGGGCAACTTCTCGGTGCGCCGCGGTTGAGGGCAACTTCTCGGTGCGCTGGGGTTGAGGGCAACTTCTCGGTGCGCCGGGGTTGAGGGCAACTTCTCGGTGCGCCGGGGTTGAGGGCAACTTCTCGGTGCGCCGCGGTTGAGGGCAACTTCTCGGTGCGCCGCGGTTGAGGGAAACTTCTCGGTGCGCCGCGGTTGAGGGAAACTTCTCGGTGCGCCGGGGTTGAAGGCAACTTCTCGGTGCGCCGCGGTTGAGGGCAACTCCCCGGCACACGCGAATCCAACCCCTCCTCCCCCCCTCCCCCCCCCACTTTGCACTGAAACCACGAAGTTCAAAATGTAACCCTTGGCGCCGATTTAAATGGATGTTATCTCATGAGGGATTCTCAATCAAGGTGGCACTGGGGCACAGAGGCTCATAAAGCGAGAGGGACTACAGGCACGGAAATTTGCTTCGGAACTTCAAATCCGCGCCCCCCCCCCCCCCCCAAAATACTTACATTTTCATTCGCCCCACCGTCACTCCCGTTTATCGGTGTTTCTTCCGCAAAAAAAACCCACACAAACGGTAGTTTTTAACTCTTTATTGTCATGTCAGTGCCGCTTGTGTAGATTTTTTTAGTTTGTTTTACCAGGCACTGATTTATTGACCCTTAATCCTTTCGACACCCCCAGTAAAATGCCGCACGCCCGCACCACCACCACCACCACCACCCCCACCCCTCCTCTCACTTCGCCCCGTGCTGAGCGAAGTTTATCCCCCGTCGAGATGTGCGAGAGAGAGAGGCGGGCGTTTCTCTCCGAACCGCGAGAGTCTCATCGGTCAAACGAGTGGGCGCGGAGTGACCCTCAAGTAAAAAAAACAACAACAACAATATATAGCTTTGGCAGGCGCTGGCACGCGACGCGTTTCCTGCTTCTCGACCGCAACCAAACCAGCCGTGGGCTTCGGCTGGTGACGGCTCCAGCCAAAACACCGCCCGCGTGCGCGCGCGCGCGTGCGTGCGTGGTAGTCAACATCGTGGAGAGCGGTGGCGTAGCGGTTCCCGCTCACGGCCAACACCCAGCGAAGATGATCTGAACCGGTCCTGGGCCTCCCCTAGGTCGACTCGGCATCAAATGAGTACCTGGTGCGGTGTGTAAATATCGCCGCTGTGGGGGAGACAAAGGCGGCCGGGCGTGGTGCTGGCCGCCCACCCCCTCCTTGTACCGTTACCGGCCATCATAGGTGCTCGCTAACAACACTTGCCCCCTACAGTCTGTTAAGGCTATACGGGGGATCTTTTATCTCTGTGGTCAACATCGCCACTTGCACCCCTTGCAAACTTCAAGTTTATTGATTTAACCCGTTCAGATCTCCAAAAAAGAGAGAGAGGAGACCAGGGTAGCAGGGTCAGTTTGCAAGTTTTGACCCAGGTCGTTAAAAGCAGACGCAAAACAAAAAAAGGTGACAAGAATAAGGCACGAGACGGCGACGTAGCAAGAGCATTGGCAGAGCTAAGGGCAAATGAAATCGATGGGGCCCTACCGAAGGAATGCAATCGTCTGGTGACGCTGTCGCCGTCTTGTCTCTTGCATCGTCCTCGTGTGGCTGCCTTTGACGACCCCACGCGGTGGCCCACAATGCAACGCGCCAGCAACATTTTAAGGAGAGAGAATAAAAGCACCCAGTAATTACTTTTAATATGGATTAGTTTCATTGGCAATAATAGTGTGTGTGTGTGCTGGGGGGCGGTTATCAGTGAAAGGGGTTGTCCGATAATATAATCAATAGCTGACTAATAGTCTGACTTCATATGCTTAGCTGCAAAATGTTGATCCGGAAACAAATTTTACAATGACATTCTTATCTGGCCCCATGGTGTAAAGCGTGTGCTCCAACACGTATCTCTGTGGCCTATCGCGTGCGTGTGCTATGAAGAGGGGACGTTATTCTAAATGTTTTTCATTAAATGTCTCCTTTAGCAGAATCAGAACATTTTTTTTTATCTTCGACTGTAGGAGGAATCTGATGAGCTATGAAGCTCTTTATTTTTACAGATGTCCAGTCGCGGGACAGATTTGCAATTAACGACGACAAACAGTCCACCACAACGATAAGTGTACATGCGTGGTTCAGATATATTGTGACTCCCCCCCCCACCCCAATTAATTAACCCCTAACATTTGTTTATCTTTTGCATATTGACATACGTAAATAAATATTACTTTTAAAATACACTTTGTAGAGAATTAAATGTGGGTCGCAAGACATCTGGACCGCCCTGTACAATAGAGCAAATGTAAGCAAGTCATTAAAAACAAAGTACACAAGTAGAAATTGCATAAGCACATAAGTTCCTGCCGATGTGCGCGTGCACCACTGCCAACGCAGTCCCATCAAACAATCCCGACCCGACCACCCGAACGTGAAATTGTAGCTCGCTGCAATCTACATCGGCAGCCATACGACCAGAAGAAGAAGAATAAGACGACGGACATCTGATCATGATGATGATGATCATGACGACGAGGATGACGGTGATCATGTGACGTGCTAGGTGGGTGAAGTTCGAGGAGAAGGTGGAGGCGGGAGGCGAGCGATGGAGCAAGCCCCACGTGGCAACGCTGTCGCTGCACGCGCTCTTCGAGCTGCGATCCTGCATTCAGGTCGGGGCCGTGCTGCTCGACCTGGAGGCGCTCACGCTGCCGCACATCGTGGGTGCGTGCCCCGCCTCTGCACTACCGCCGCTGCACACCGCTGCTGCACCACCATGCACTACCGCCGCTGCACTAGCTGCTGCACCACGATGCACTACCGCCACTCCGCTTCTGCACGACGCTGCACACCGCCTCTTCACGCAGCTGCACTGCACCACACAGCCTCTGCATCATTGCTTCACCCAGTCTCTGCATTACGCTGCACAGCCCCTACACGCCGCTGCATTCGCCCGCTGCACTCGCTGGATCTTTGTCTATTGTGCGAAAGGTAAAGCACGTGCGGTGTAGGGAGTGATGAGCGCGTGTGTGTGATCTTAGCGATAGTGCAGTGGTTAAACCAGCGACTCGAGTTCGATAACCGCTCACGGCCAATACCAGTGACGATTATTATCTGAACGGGTCTTGCGCCTCCCCTAGGTCGACTCAGCCTACAATGAGTACCTGGTGCGGTGTGTAACCATCGCCACTGGGCGTTGTGCTTGGCCACCCACCCACCTCGTGCGCCGTGCCGGCCTTCACAGGGCGCAACTCGCTAACAGCACCTGGCCCCAACAGTCTGTTGAGGCTGTACGGTGTCTTTGTGCTGTGTGTGTGTGTGCGTGTGCTGCGTGCAGACCTGATGATAGGAAGCCAAATCGCGAGCGGACAGCTGCGGAGCGAGCAGAGGGACAAGGTGACCCACGCGCTGCTGCGGCGACACCGCCACCAGACCAAGAAGTCCGGGCTGCGCTCCCTCGCGGACATTGGGAAGTCGGTCTCTGGCACGAGTGAGCTAAGCCCCACCGACGCATCTCTCACCCAACCCTCCCACCCCCCCCCCCCAGTAAACGTGCCAACGTTAGGTCAACGTTGGCACGCGGTTGGAAGCGTTGGACCCGACGTCGGCCCAACGTTCCGTATCTACTGGATCTCCGGCGTCGGGCGAACGTTCGCGTGCGGTTAGGGGTCATTCATTTAGTACGTACGCATTGAGGAGGGGGGGTGGTGGTTAACCCAAATTCGTACGCTTGCGTATGGGAGGTCTATTGACAATGTACGCATAGGAAAGGAGGGGGGGGGTGAAGCCACAATAATAATTTGTCTACATTGGCCTTCAAATGAGTTAAATATTCCGGCGGTGGACTATCTGTTTGCTTAAACACGTTCATATTATTAATCCGTGATCGTTTTTGCGTGGATTAAATATCGGCCGTTCTATAGGATTCGGGGGAAGGGGGGGGGGTGCGTCAGGTGTACGTACGCAGGTGGTTGGGTGGGGGTGTAAAAAGTTCGCGTGCGTACAGGGAGGGGGGGAGGGGTCAAGTTTTGACAGATTTCTGCGTACCTACTAAATGGATGGCCCCTTGGGACCGCTGAACCAAAGTTGGCCCAACGTTAGACCGGACGTTCCAGTAAACGTGGAACGTTGGGCTAATGTTGGTTGACGTTGGGATGGTACGTTGGGACTAACGTTAGTCCAACGTTGGGCTAACGTTGGGCTAACGTTGGCAGGCGCGCACCACGTACGCAACACAGCAGCACAGCCGCACCACTCGACAACAACAACAACAAGAGTGACGTACCCTCCGCCATCCGACACAGGCAAACAGATTGAATGTGCCTCGTGGTGCAAGACGTGCCAATCGATTAAAACGTTTCTTCATCAATCCGGTTTCGCCGAAAAGAGCAAGCAAAAAAGTAAGCAAAAGTATTCCAAAGCATTCCACGTTTCCACGTTTTGCTGACAATGACAACGAGCGCCGGTCATGGGGTCAGCCGGAGCTCTGACCTCGAGTGAATGGCCACGTGACTTAATTCACAAAAGAACGCGGATTGTGAATGAGATCATCGTCTCGTTGAAAGCTCGCGGAACGAAAATGAACAGCGGCAGGCAACTTCCATTCACACGGCGCCAGAAATCGCGCAGCCCCCGAAAAAAGTCTCGAAGCTTCGAAGGATCGGAAGAGTTCTAGGGGAGGGGGAGGAGAATGGGGGGGGAGTGAGGGGGAGGGGTGGGGGGAGGCTGTAGATGAGTGGGGTGTGAGTTCAAGAGGGCGGGTGAGGCTCTGCGGAGGAGTAAGTCGAGCGAAGAGGGCGAGTGGGTTTGTACGGACACCGGAGTCAAGGTCACTCCTCGGGGAGGCGGCGGAGGGTTGGGATTGGGGAGGGCGCCGCTCGTGCCCACGCGTGCCCCGTGCACGCCGAGTGGCTACGTGGTGGGCGCGCCCCGCACTGCACTCGCTCACAGAGTGCCTCGTGAGCAGTCCCCACGGGCAGTGGTTGGGGAGCGGAGCGAGTAGAGCGCGTGAGCCTGGGGGGTTGGTGGCTACCATCAGTGTCCACCACGGGCAGTGTCCACCACGGGCAGTGTCCACCACGGGCAGTGTCCACCAAGGGCAGTGTCTACCCTGGTCAGTGTCCAACACGGGCAGTGTCCACCACGGGCAGTGTCTACCCTGGTCAGTGTCCACCACGGGCAGTGTCCACCACGAGCAGTGTCCATCACGGGCAGTGTCCACCACGGGCAGTGTCCCACCCTGGACAGTGTCCCCCACGGGCAGTGTCCACCCTGGGCAGTGTCCACCACGGGCAGTGTCCCACCACGGGTAGTGTCTACCCTAGTCAGTGTCCACCAAGAGCAGTGTCCACCACGAGCAGTGTCCACCACGGGCAGTGTCTACCCTGGTCAGTGTCCACCACGGGCAGTGTCCACCACGAGCAGTGCCCACCACGGGCAGTGTCCCACCCTGGACAGTGTCTACCACGGGCAGTGTCCACCCTGGGCAGTGTCCACCACGGGCAGTGTCCACCACGGGCAGTGTCCCACCATGTGCCGTGTCCACCACGAGCAGTGTCCAACACGGGCAGTGTCTACCACGAGCAGTGTCTACCCTGGTCAGTGTCCACCACGGGCAGTGTCCATCACGAGCAGTGTCCACCACGAGCAGTGTCCACCACGGGCAGTGTCTACCCTGGTCAGTGTCCACCACGGGCAGTGTCTACCACGGGCAGTGTCTACCCTGGTCAGTGTCTACCACGGGCAGTGTCTACCCTGGGCAGTGTCCATCACGGGCAGTGTCTACCCTGGTCAGTGTCTACCACGGGCAGTGTCCACCCTGGGCAGTGTCCACCACGGGCAGTGTCTACCCTGGTCAGTGTCTACCCTGGTCAGTGTCCACCACGGGCAGTGTCTACCCTGGGCAGTGTCCACCACGGGCAGTGTCTACCCTGGTCAGTGTCCATCACGGGTAGTGTCTACCCTGGTCAGTGTCCACCACGGGCAGTATCCACCACGTGCAGTGTCCACCAAACGTACTGCGTTTCCCTTTTCTTCAATGACACCATTTCCCCCGTAATAAATACATAAATAAAAAAGCTATCACGATGACCTTATTATCATAGATATTTGTAATCTCGAGATAAGATTATTCGAGGAAATAATTGTAAGCAATTGGCACCCAGAGTGGTACCAATAACCCCTTTTTGAGGTTCAATTGATTTCGTGTTGTTACCCCTGGCTGGCAGACGTCGTGGCTTTCTGGTGGATATCCCGGGGTTTAATGATAAACAACGCCCACAAGAGCAGGCTGGTCACCTGCTGACCGTACTCCTACACACGGCTTAGCCATTACCACGTTTATAGTTAATCACCAGCGTGAGCCCCCGCCCCTCTGTAAAACTAAACTAAACTATTTTTTTTTACTTTAGCGGGTGAGGCCCACTGAGCTACACGGCTCTTTTTCAGAAGCGACCTGGCTATCACGGATGATAGCGCAACGAAGTGGCTTATTCAATCGTGTGGGAATGCATAGCTGCCAAATTACTCTAAACGCGTGATGTTCATTGTAAATGTGGAGGGGAAACCCCGGAGGACCCAGAGAAAATCCACGTGACCACAGAGAGAGAGACGCGCAAAACTCCAAATATACAACAGGCGTCAGGGTCGGGACCGAACTCACAACCTGCTGTGTACCAGGCGAGGTAGTTCACATCTCACCACAGAGAGAGAGAGACACGCAAAACTCCAAATATGCAACAGGCGTCACGGTCGAGACCGAACTCACAACCTCCTGTATACCAGGCGAGGTAGTTCACATCTCACCACAGAGAGAGAGACACGCAAAACTCCAAATATACAACAGGCGTCAGGGTCGGGACCGAGCTCACAACTTCCTGTGTACCAGGCGAGGTAGTTCACATCTCACCACAGAGAGAGACACGCAAAACTCCAAATATGCAACAGGCGTCAGGGTCGGGATCGAACTCACAACCTGCTGTGTACCAGGCGAGGTTGTTAAAATCTCACCACCGTGGCACCCCTAATTTTGCTTACAGGAGAAAAGGCAACACCAACAAACGCCCCCTCCCCACCCCCCCTGCATAATTCAGATTAACTCAGATTGCATTTAAATGTACGTAACCGTGCTTCCCCCGCTTGGTGTACGTGCAATCGCCCGAGCCGTCCGCGTTCACGGATGCCGAAGAAATCACCACGAAAAGGCCGTAAACAAGACGTCGATGATCAGCCGGGCGTACAAACGGCGTGATGCAATTGCGGCCCTAAGCCACAATTTGCTCCAAGTCTCTCTCTCAATCGGCGTCGTGATACGGCACCGCCGTAAATGTTTATTACGATGCGCGTGCAGAGTAGATCGTCTCTAATGGGGGGGGGGGGGCGGGGGGGGGGTCGCTCTCGCGTTCACGCCAACAACGGGGGGATTCTCGTGGCAAAAGGCAAAGATCCACCGTGTAACCTTTACAGACTTTTGGGGGCAAGTGCTGTTTTGGGGCAAGCACTTACTATGAAGGCCGGCGCGTCGTCACACGAGGTGGTGGGTGACCAGCATCACGTCCGGCCGCCTTTGTCTCCCGAGTGGCGATGTTTACTACACACCGCGCCAGGTACTCATTTGAGTCTGAGTCGACTTAGGGGAGGGCTCAGGACCGGGTCAGATAATCGTCACTGCTGTTAGCCCTAAGCTGGGAATCGAACTCGGCTCGCCGGCTTCGTAGCGCAGCGCGCTCACCGCTACACAAACACAGCCCGGGTCACGGAGTTGTAAAGTGCGTGGGTAGACATGTACCAACACCCACACACCCACCCCCCGACTATCCCCCCTCCACGCCCAGCGAGGAGACGTGATGATCTGGGCCATGGCACGTGGTGATACAGGGATGGCGCGTGCCGCCACACTGACAAAATAACCCCCCCCCAAACCCACCCCCCAAACACCACCCCCCCCACCGCCCCCCCAAACCCACCGCACACCCCCCAAACCCCACCCTTAACCCCCCCCCCAAACCCACCCACACCCCTCCCCAACCCCACCCCACACCCCCCCCAAGAAGTGGAATGAGCCAGAGGTGCGTTGGTGGACGCACCGCAAAACCCGCGCGCTGGGACCGGCGAAGTCGTTTTTCGAACCGATTTTGTCTTGGCGTGACGCTGCGATGGCGAGTGGAGCGCAAAGGACAGATACGAAACGCAACACATTCCTCAACAACAACAACGAAAACCCAAATAATATTAATTCTTGCAGTCACGAAAGCTTTAAGTCAATAACAATCTCCAAAAAATAACAACAACAATGAATATTCTTAGTTCTTTCGGTAAAGTCACGTTAAAGGGAAACAAAAAAATAATAAATTATATATAAAACAATAAAAAATTCTCACGACGTTTCGACCATAACACAAACGGTCGTCTTCAGGTGTGTTGGTTTGCATAAATGTATTTTTAAACGGAGCATTTATTTATTTATAATAAAAAAACGTTAGCGCCACGCGCAGCGATTTGGCAGTTTACCCAGGACTAGTCCATCTATATTCTGAAAAGAGGAGGGGGGAGACGATTTTTTTTATTATGTATGCTGTCTGAAAGCCACTGTAAGCGTGAACAATCAATTAAGACCTGAAATGGTTTATCAAATCTTATATATAATTTATTATTTTGTTGTTTCCCTTTAACGTGACTTTACCGAAAGAACTAAGAATATATGAATTACTGCAGTCACGAAAGCTTTAAATCAAAACAACAATGAAGTCGAGACATTGCCTGAAATGTCACCTATCAAACCACGTGTTTTCCCCTTGTAGGGCCAATGCCACTGACGGATGTTCAAACAGAAACCGCCGCAATCATTATTGGCTTTCGTGGGTTTAATTCAAACATTTACGTATTCACGTCTAAGTTGCATTTTCCACGGTAAGCGATCCCAGACGGCTCCTCTTCCACGATGGGGCCATCATTTATTTTAAGCCGCAGAACAAACTCCCTCGGGGCACCTGGTGACCTTTGAGGGCCTGTAACTTGAATGTGACCTTCAAAGGGAAGGTGCAACTCACAGATACCACCCCCGTGTCCTCGCGTTGCCCTGCTGTAAACACGGACACCGCAGTCCCGGTCCCTGTGAGCCACGCACTTTGTCCCAGTGCCCCCCCCCTCCCCCTTGTCCCGCTGCGTCCCTCCTTGTCCCACCATGTACCCCCTTGTCCCGCAATGTCCCTCCTTGTCCCACCATGTACCCCCTTGTCCCGCATTGTCCCACCATGTACCCCCTTGTCCCGCAATGTCCCTCCTTGTCCCACCATGTACCCCCTTGTCCCGCATTGTCCCACCATGTACCCCCTTGTCCCGCAATGTCCCTCCTTGTCCCACCATGTACCCCCTTGTCCCGCAATGTCCCTCCTTGTCCCACCATGTACCCCCTTGTCCCGCAATGTCCCTCCTTGTCCCACCATGTACCCCCTTGTCCCGCATTGTCCCACCATGTACCCCCTTGTCCCGCAATGTCCCTCCTTGTCCCACCATGTACCCCCTTGTCCCGCTGTGTCCCTCCTTGTCCCACCATGTACCCCCTTGTCCCGCTGTGTCCCCCCCGTGACCCCCCCCCCCCACCTCCTCCACCCCTGGCGTGTCCCCACTTGTCCCTCGTCCCCCCCCATCCCCTCGTGTCCCACCGATCCCCGCCGTTCCTGTAACTCATCATTAGGGATGGCGGCCCACCGCCTCCACCCCCTCAAAAGGGGCGCAAGGGGGGGGGGTGGCCACCGCTCCGCCCAGCCCTTGCCACGACACTGCCCTTGCCACGACACTGCCCTTGCCACGACACATCCCTTGCCACGACACATCCCTTGCCACGACACATCCCTTGCCACGACGCCTGCTGCAATGCCCCTCACAGTGCTGCCATCCCTGGCCCCTGATCGCCCACGTGGCATCGCTTTGCCTCCCCCCAGGGTCCCACTTGCAGGGCCGTGCTGCTTGGGTTCTGCCAATCCGTGCCTCGTAAAATCCCCCAAATGCCCTCTAATTATGATTTGTTCCCCTCTTGTATATTCTGCGTTTTTATTTCTACACACACGCTATATATATCCTGTATCGTTCATTGCACTCTGTTCCCACTGTGAGATCTGACGAGGCCCTGGCTGGTGAGACTGCTGCAGGGCGTGCCTCGAGATGTGACTTCACGCTATTACGCGATGATCGACGGAGTTGATCGATGATGAAGATTGGCGATTATACAGATGGTCGATGATGATGATGATGATGAAATGACGTTTGTCCCCTGCTGCTTCGCGGCATCTTCACACAGGCAGCCTCAACGGCAGTCCGCGGAAATCGACAGCAGCCGGCAACGGCAGCGAAATCCTGGAGATTCCTGGGAAGGACCAGGTGGGGGCCTGCACGCACCCACCCACCCATGCACCTACGAACCCAGCCACGCACCCACCCACCCACGCACCCACCCACGCACCCAGCCACGCACCCACGCACCCAGCCACGCACGCACGCACACACGAATACACAAACCCACGCACACACCCTCCCACCCACGCAACCACGCACCCACCCACCCACGCGCCCACCCACCCACGCACCCATCCACAAATCCACCCACGCACCTACGCATGCACATACGCACACATTCCACCTGCATAGAGGAAGATACTCCACCTGGAGGTGCTGTGGCAGGGATCTCTGGCGGAGTATTTGAGGAAACTCTCCACTCGATATCACTTCACCCACATCTCTCCACCCCCTTCTTCCTCGTGTCATCTCCCACGTCCCACCCCAACCCCGAGCCCTCTCGCTCTCTCAATGTCCCACGTCTCACCCCAACCCCGAGCCCTCTCACTCTCTCAATGTCCCACGTCTCACCCTAACCCCGAGCCCTCTCACTCTCTCAATGTCCCACGTCTCACCCTCACCCCGAGCCCTCTCACTCTCTCAATGTCCCACGTCTCACCCTAACCCCGAGCTCTCTCACTCTCTCAATGTCCCACGTCTCACCACAACCCCGAGCTCTGTCACTCTCTCAATGTCCCACGTCTCACCCCAACCCCAGCCCTCTCACTCTCTCAATGTCCCACGTCTCACCCTAACCCCGAGCCCTCTCACTCTCTCAATGTCCCACGTCTCATCCTCATCCCAGCCCTCTCACACTCTCAATGTCCCACGTCTCACCCCAACCCTCTCACTCTCTCAATGTCCCACGTCTCACCCCAACCCCGAGCTCTGTCACTCTCTCAATGTCCCACGTCTCACCCTAACCCCGAGCCCTCTCACTCTCTCAATGTCCCACGTCTCACCCTAACCTCGAGCTCTGTCACTCTCTCAATGTCCCACGTCTCACCCTAACCCCGAGCCCTCTCACTCTCTCAATGTCCCACGTCTCACCCTAACCCCGAGCTCTGTCACTCTCTCAATGTCCCACGTCTCACCCTAACCCCGAGCTCTCTCACTCTCTCAATGTCCCACGTCTCACCCTAACCCCGAGCCCTCTCACTCTCTCAATGTCCCACGTCTCACCCTAACCCCGAGCTCTGTCACTCTCTCAATGTCCCACGTCTCACACTCACCCCGAGCCCTCTCACTCTGTCAACGTCCCACGTCTCACCCCAACCCCAGCCCTCTCACTCTCTCAATGTCCCACGTCTCACCCTAACCCGAGCCCTCTCACTCTCTCAATGTCCCACGTCTCACACTCAACCCCGAGCCCTCTCACTCTCTCAATGTTCCACATCTCACCCTCACCCCGAGCCCTCTCACTCTCTCAATGTCCCACGTCTCACACTCAACCCCGAGCCCTCTCACTCTCTCAATGTCCCACGTCTCACCCTAACCCCGAGCTCTGTCACTCTCTCAATGTCCCACGTCTCACCCTCACCCCGAGCCCTCTCACTCTGTCAATGTCCCACGTCTCACCCCAACCCCAGCCCTCTCACTCTCTCAATGTCCCACGTCTCACCCTAACCCGAGCCCTCTCACTCTCTCAATGTCCCACGTCTCACACTCAACCCCGAGCCCTCTCACTCTCTCAATGTCCCACGTCTCACACTCAACCCCGAGCCCTCTCACTCTCTCAATGTCCCACGTCTCACACTCAACCCCGAGCCCTCTCACTCTCTCAATGTCCCACGTCTCACCCTAACCCCGAGCTCTGTCACTCTCTCAATGTCCCACGTCTCACCCTCACCCCGAGCCCTCTCACTCTCTCAATGTCCCACGTCTCACCCTAACCCCGAGCTCTGTCACTCTCTCAATGTCCCACGTCTCACCCTAACCCCGAGCTCTGTCACTCTCTCAATGTCCCACGTCTCACCCTAACCCCGAGCCCTCTCACTCTCTCAATGTCCCACGTCTCACCCTAACCCCGAGCTCTGTCACTCTCTCAATGTCCCACGTCTCACCCTAACCCCGAGCTCTCTCACTCTCTCAATGTCCCACGTCTCACCCTAACCCCGAGCCCTCTCACTCTCTCAATGTTCCACGTCTCACCCTAACCCCGAGCTCTGTCACTCTCTCAATGTCCCACGTTTCACACTCACCCCGAGCCCTCTCACACTCTCAATGTCCCACGTCTCGCCCTAACCCGAGCCCTCTCACTCTGTCAATGTCCCACGTCTCACACTCAACCCCGAGCCCTCTCACTCTGTCAATGTCCCACGTCTCACCCCAACCCCAGCCCTCTCACTCTCTCAATGTCCCACGTCTCACCCTAACCCGAGCCCTCTCACTCTCTCAATGTCCCACGTCTCACCCTAACCCCGAGCTCTGTCACTCTCTCAATGTCCCACGTCTCACACTCAACCCCGAGCCCTCTCACTCTCTCAATGTCCCACATCTCACCCTAACCCCGAGCTCTGTCACTCTCTCAATGTCCCATGTCTCACCCTCACCCCGAGCCCTCTCACTCTCTCAATGTCCCACGTCTCACCCTAACCCCGAGCCCTCTCACTCTCTCAATGTCCCACGTTTCACCCTAACCCGAGCCCTCTCACTCTCTCAATGTCCCACGTCTCACACTCAACCCCGAGCCCTCTCACTCTCTCAATGTCCCACGTCTCACCCTAACCCCGAGCTCTGTCACTCTCTCAATGTCCCACGTCTCACCCTAACCCCGAGCCCTCTCACTCTCTCAATGTCCCACGTCTCACCCTAACCCCGAGCCCTCTCACTCTCTCAATGTTCCACGTCTCACCCTAACCCCGAGCTCTGTCACTCTCTCAATGTCCCACGTCTCACACTCACCCCGAGCCCTCTCACACTCTCAATGTCCCACGTCTCGCCCTAACCCGAGCCCTCTCACTCTCTCAATGTCCCACATCTCACACTCAACCCCGAGCCCTCTCACTCTCTCAATGTCCCACGTCTCACCCCAACCCCAGCCCTCTCACTCTCTCAATGTCCCACGTCTCACCCTAACCCGAGCCCTCTCACTCTCTCAATGTCCCACGTCTCACACTCAACCCCGAGCCCTCTCACTCTCTCAATGTTCCACGTCTCACCCTAACCCGAGCCCTCTCACTCTGTCAATGTCCCACGTCTCACACTCAACCCCGAGCCCTCTCACTCTCTCAATGTCCCACGTCTCACCCTAACCCGAGCCCTCTCACTCTCTCAATGTCCCACGTCTCACACTCAACCCCGAGCCCTCTCACTCTCTCAATGTCCCACATCTCACCCTAACCCCGAGCTCTGTCACTCTCTCAATGTCCCACGTCTCACCCTCACCCCGAGCCCTCTCACTCTCTCAATGTCCCACGTCTCACCCTAACCCGAGCCCTCTCACTCTCTCAATGTCCCACGTCTCACACTCAACCCCGAGCCCTCTCACTCTCTCAATGTCCCACATCTCACCCTAACCCCGAGCTCTGTCACTCTCTCAATGTCCCACGTCTCACCCTCACCCCGAGCCCTCTCACTCTCTCAATGTCCCACGTCTCACCCTAACCCGAGCCCTCTCACTCTCTCAATGTCCCACGTCTCACACTCAACCCCGAGCCCTCTCACTCTCTCAATGTCCCACATCTCACCCTAACCCCGAGCTCTGTCACTCTCTCAATGTCCCACGTCTCACCCTCACCCCGAGCCCTCTCACTCTCTCAATGTCCCACGTCTCACACTCAACCCCGAGCCCTCTCACTCTCTCAATGTCCCACGTCTCACCCTAACCCCAGCCCTCTCACTCTCTCAATGTCCCACGTCTCACCCCAACCCCAGCCCTCTCACTCTCTCATTGTCCCACGTCTCACACTCAACCCCGAGCCCTCTCACTCTCTCAATGTCCCACGTCTCACCCCAACCCCGAGCCCTCTCACTCTCTCAATGTCTCACGTCTCACCCTCACCCCGAGCCCTCTCACTCTCTCAATCTCCCATGGTCTCGGCCGGAACTTGTTTTTTTTACTCAATCTCATTTAAAAAAAATGAGATTAATCGGTTCTGTATTGTTACTGAAAAAACATGAACTAAAACACATTTTACATATTTTTGTAAATTTTCATTAGATATATACACGCCTCCACCCTTCCCTTCCTTCCCTTCCTCCCCACCTCCACGGATTTCCATGCCCACACCACCGGGACATTCACGCGTCGCTGGCCGCTGGTGGTGGCAGTCGCAGCAGTAGCAGCGACGATCACAACGCAGCTGCCAATCTCTGCGCGTTAATCGCCCCAGCACTGGATGGACGATCTCCCCCTGTTAATTACAACGAGAGTGATGATGGCGATGGCGATGATGGCGATGACGATGATGATGATTACAGGCACTCCTCTAATGACGAACGAGTTGGGTTCCAGAGGTCTATTCGTAAGTTGATTTGTTCGTAAGTCCAACTTTATTCCTGTCGATTCCAAGCACGTTGTACGGCGTGCACACAAACACGGTGGATGGCTTTAAAGGTTCTACAATGTAGATGCCACTGGTTCTTCACGTCCTGCAGATGTAGACGCCACTGGTTCTTCATGTTCTACAGATGTAGATGCCATTGCTTCTTCACGTTCTGTAGATGTAGACGCCACTGGTTCTTCACGTCCTGCAGATGTAGATGCCACTGGTTCTTCACGTCCTGCAGATGTAGATGCCACTGGTTCTTCACGTCCTGCAGATGTAGATGCCACTGGTTCTTCACGTCCTGCAGATGTAGATGCCACTGGTTCTTCACGTTCTGCAGATGTAGATGCCACTGGTTCTTCACGTTTTTCAGATGTAGATGCCACTGGTTCTTCATGTTCTGTAGACATAGATGCCACTGGTTCTTCACGTTCTGCAGATGTAGATGCCACTGGTTCTTCATGTTCTGCAGATGTAGATGCCACTGGTTCTTCACGTCCTGCAGATGTAGATGCCACTGGTTCTTCACATTCTGGAGATGTAGACGCCACTGGTTCTTCACGTTCTGCAGATGTAGATGCCACTGGTTCTTCATGTTCTGCAGATGTAGATGCCACTGGTTCTTCACGTTCTGCAGATGTAGATGCCACTGGTTCTTCACGTTCTGCAGATGTAGGTGCCACTGGTTCTTCACGTTCTGCAGATGTAGATCTCAATGGTTCTTCATGTTCTGTAGACGTAGATGCCACTGGTTATTCACGTCCTGAAGATGTAGATGCCGCTGGTTCTTCATGTTCTGTAGATGACACTGGTTCTTCACGTTCTGCAGATGTAGATGCCACTGGTTCTTCACGTTCTGCAGATGTAGATGCCACTGGTTCTTCATGTTCTGTAGACGTAGATGCCACTTGTTCTTCACGTCCTGCAGATGTAGATGCCATTGGTTCTTCATGTTCTGCAGATGTAGATGCCACTGGTTCTTCACGTTCTGCAGGTGTAGATGCCACTGGTTCTTCACGTTCTGCAGATGTAGGTGCCACTGGTTCTTCACGTTCTGCAGATATAGATGCCACTGGTTCTTCACGTCCTGAAGATGTAGATGCCACTGGTTCTTCATGTTCTGTAGACGTAGATGCCACTGGTTCTTCACGTCCTGCAGATGTAGACGCCACCACCGCCATCTATTGCGTGGCGGTTGAACTTACGACTCTCGATCCGAACAGGAAACTTGGACATACGGACCAGGTTTGTTCGTACTCTCTGAAAGTTCCTAAATAGAATGGTCACAAGTAGAGGAGTCCCTGCATATTAATGAACACAACGAACGCTCCCTGTGCCCGCCGCTGCAGATGAAAAACCGGTTCATCAAGAAGATTTCGCGCGACGCCGAGGCCTCCAACATCCTGGTGGGTGAGGTCGACTTCCTGGAGGCGCCTTTCGTGGCGTTCGTTCGGCTCCAGACGGCCACGACTCTCGGAGGGCTCACAGAGGTGCCCGTGCCCACCAGGTGAGACTCACAGAGGTGCCCGTGCCCACCAGGTGAGACTCACAGAGGTGCCCGTGCCCACCAGGTGAGACTCACAGACGTGCCCGTCACCCACCAGGTGAGACTCACAGAGGTCCTCATTCCCCACCAGGTGAGACTCACAGACGTGCGCGTCACCCACCAGGTGAGACTCACAGAGGTGCTCGTCCCTCACCAGGTGAGACTCACAGAGGTGCTCATTCCCCACCAGGTGAGACTCACAGAGGTGCTCGTCCCTCACCAGGTGAGACTCACAGAGGTGCTCATTCCCCACCAGGTGAGACTCACAGACGTGCCCGTGCCCACCAGGTGAGGCTCACAGAGGTGCCCGTGCCCACCAGGTGAGACTCACAGACGTGCCCGTGCCCACCAGGTGAGACTCACAGACGTGCCCGTGCCCACCAGGTGAGACTCACAGACGTGCTCGTGCCCACCAGGTGAGACTCACAGAGGTGCCCGTGCCCACCAGGTGAGACTCACAGAGGTGCTCGTCCCTCACCAGGTGAGACTCACAGAGGTGCTCGTCTCCCACGAGGTGAATCCGAGCGGTGTTATTTGTTTGTTGTACGCATGCACGTTGAACTTCTTTCGCACAGTATGTAGCCAACCGTGCTCATCGTAGGTGCGAGGGACGGACAACGTGTGTCTGTGCGCTGTGGGGAGCGGTGGTGCAGCCGTTAGCGCTACGCTGCGCTACAAACCATGGTCACCCGGGTTCGATTCCCCCTCACGGCCAACACCAGTGGCGATTATCTGAACCGGTTCTGGGCCTCCCCTAGGGCGACTCAGCCTCAATTGAGTACCTGGTGCGGTGTGTAAACACCGCCCTTGAGGAGACAAAGGCGGCCACCCACCCTCTCGTGTGCCGTGCCGGTGCTGTTCGCTAACGGCACTTGCCCCGACAGTCCGTTAAGGCTACACGGCAGAGGATCTTTGTCTTTGTTTCGTGCTGCGCGTCGATTGAACGCGGGACGGCATCGCTGCGCTGAAGACGTTTTGCCAGACACGCGGTGCGGTGCGGTGATGTTCCCGCCTTTGTCCCCCCGTGTCAGGTTCCTGTTCGTGCTCATGGGACCCAAAGGCAGGGCCAAGGAATACCACGAGATCGGCAGGGCCATGGCCACGCTCATGTCCGACGAGGTGAGCGATCCCGCCGCTCGCGCGCGTTCGTGAAGCGGAACGGGCCGCGCGCGGGGGCCGTCTGCGGGCGAAGCGAGACGCAGCGTGGGGGGGGGGGATGGGGGGGGTCTGGATTTTGCTGACGGCAAGTGTGAGTGCATAGCTGTGTGTGTGTGCGCGTTGTGGGTGCCATCGAGTGGAGGGAATTAATTGAACGAGTCAATGGGTGGCTTTATTGAATGAGCTGGTGGCTTGGTGAATGAGCGGACGGGTGGGATGGGTGACCGGGTGGGCTGGCGAGTGAGTGGGTGCGCGAGTGGGTGAGCGAGTGGGTGAGCGAGTGGGTGAGCGAGTGGGTGAGCGAGTGGGTGAGCGAGTGGGTGAGCGAGTGGGTGAGCGAGTGGGTGAGCGAGTGGGTGAGCGAGTGGGTGAGCGAGTGGGTGAGCGAGTGGGTGAGCGAGTGAACGTGGCCGCTCTCCGCGCCATCCTCACCCTCCCCGCCCACTCCCAGCTGTTCCACGACGTGGTGTACAAGGCTCGTGACCGCAAGGACCTCCTCCTCGGCATCGACGAGTTCCTCGACGAGGTGATCGTGCTGCCCCCCGGGGAGTGGGACCCCACCATCCGTATCGAGCCCCCCAAGAACATCCCCTCTCCCGAGAAACGGTGACTGCCACACGGCCATGCAAACTCACCTACCCGCTCGCTCACTCACCTGCCGACTCACTCACCTGCCGACTCACTCACCTGCCGACTCACTCACTCAACTGCCCACTCGCCTACCCGCTCATTCGCCGACCAGACCTTTCGCCTACCCGCTCACTCATTTGACCACTCACCTACCAGCTCACTCACCTTGTTGCTCGTTCACTCACCTGCCCACTCACCTATCAGCTCACTCACGTGCCCACTCGTCTACCCATTCGCTCACTCACCTATCCACTCGCTCTCCTACATCACTCACTCATTCACCTTCACTAACTCACCTGCTAACTTACCTATCTGCTCACTCATTTACACCGTTCGCTCACTCACCTGACCACTCACACACCTGGCTACTCATCTATCCACTCACCTACCTGCCCACCCACCTACTTGCCCACTCGTCTGCTCGCATAATCACTCACTTACCCATTTGCTCGCTCACTCGTTTGCACACTCACTCACTCGCTGACTCACCAACTCACTCACTCACCGACCCACACACTCACTGTCAACCACTCGCTCGTGCGTCCACGCACTTACTACTCACTTGCTCACTCACTCACCGACATCCCACAGAAACATTCACTATCAGAGGCCTCACTCGTGTGTGTGTGATGTGTGTGTTGTTGTGAGTGTGTGTGATGTGTGTGTTGTTGTGAGTGTGCGTGATGTGTGTGTTGTTGTGAGTGTGTGATGTGTGTGGTGTATGTGTGTGTTGTGTGTGTGTGGTATGTGTGTGTTGTGTGTGTGTGGTGTGTGGTATGTGTGTGTTGTGTGTGTGTGGTGTGTGGTATGTGTGTGTTGTGTGTGTGTGGTGTGTGGTATGTGTGTGTTGTGTGTGTGTGGTGTGTGTTGTGTGTGTTGTGTGTGTGTGGTGTGTGGTATGTGTGTGTTGTGTGTGTGTGGTGTGTGTGATGTGTGTGTTGTGTCTGTGTGGTGTGTGTGATGTGTGTGTTGTTGTGAGTGTGTGGTGTGTGTGATGTTGTTGTGTGTGGTGTATGTGTGTTGTTGTTGTGTGTGGTGTATGTGTGTGTTGTTGTGAGTGTGTGGTGTATGGTGTATGTGTGTGTTGTTGTGAGTGTGTGGTGTATGGTGTATGTGTGTGTTGTTGTGAGTGTGTGGTGTATGGTGTATGTGTGTGTGTTGTGAGTGTGTGGTGTATGGTGTATGTGTGTGTGTTGTGAGTGTATGGTGTATGTGTGTGTGTGTTGTGAGTGTGTGGTGTATGGTGTATGTGTATGTGTTGTGAGTGTGTGGTGTATGGTGTATGTGTGTGTGGTGTATGGTGTATGTGTGTGTGTTGTGAGTGTGGTGTATGTGTGTGTTGTTGTGAGTGTGTGGTGTATGTGTGTGTTGTTGTGAGTGTGTGGTGTATGTGTGTGTTGTTGTGAGTGTGTGGTGTATGTGTGTGTTGTGAGTGTGTGGTGTATGTGTGTGTTGTTGTTGTGTGTGATGTGTGTGTGATGTGTGTGGTGTGTGTGGTGTGTGTGTGTGGTGTGTGATGTGTGTTGTTGTGTGCGGTGTGTGGTGTGTGTGATGTGTGTGTTGATGTGTGTGGTGTGTGTGTGTGGTGTATGTGTGTGTTGTGTGTGTGTGGTGTGTGGTATGTGTGTGTTGTTGTGTCTGTGTGGTGTGTGTGATGTGTGTGTTGTTGTGAGTGTGTGGTGTGTGTGATGTGTGTGTTGTTGTGAGTGTGTGGTGTGTGTGTTGTTGTGTCTGTGTGGTGTGTGTGATGTGTGTGTTGTTGTGTCTGTGTAGTGTGTGTGATGTGTGTGTTGTGAGTGTGTGATGTGTGTTGTGAGTGTGTGATGTGTGTTGTGAGTGTGTGGTGTATGGTGTATGTGTGTGGTGTATGGTGTATGTGTGTGTTGTGAGTGTGGTGTATGTGTGTGTTGTTGTGAGTGTGGTGTATGTGTGTGTTGTTGTGAGTGTGTGGTGTATGTGTGTGTTGTTGTGAGTGTGTGGTGTATGTGTGTGTTGTGAGTGTGTGGTGTATGTGTGTGTTGTGAGTGTGTGGTGTATGTGTGTGTTGTGTGTGTGTGGTGTGTGTGTGTGATGTGTGTGTTGTTGTGAGTGTGTGGTGTGTGTGGAGTGTGTTGTTGTGTGGTGTGTATGTGTGTGTTGTTGTGAGTGTGTGGTGTATGTGTGTGTTGTTGTGAGTGTGTGGTGTATGGTGTATGTGTGTGTTGTTGTGAGTGTGTGGTGTATGGTGTATGTGTGTTGTTGTGAGTGTGTGGTGTATGGTGTATGTGTGTGTGTTGTGAGTGTGTGGTGTATGGTGTATGTGTGTGTGGTGTATGGTGTATGTGTGTGTTGTGAGTGTGGTGTATGTGTGTGTTGTTGTGAGTGTGGTGTATGTGTGTGTTGTTGTGAGTGTGTGGTGTATGTGTGTGTTGTTGTGTGTGTGTGATGTGTGTGGTGTGTGTGTGATGTGTGTGGTGTGTGTGTTGATGTGTGTGGTGTGTGTGTGTGATGTGTGTGGTGTGTGTGTGATTGGTGTGTGTGTGATGTGTGTGGTGTGTGTGTGTGTTGTTGTGTGTTGTTGTGTGCGGTGTGGTGTATGTGTGTGCGGTGTGTGTGTGTGTGTGTGTGTGTGTGATGTGTGTGTGTTGTTGTGTGCGGTGTGGCTGGAGAACTGTGGCACAGCGGTTAGCGCACCTCCCTCCGAACCCGGTCACCCGAGTTCGATTCCCGGACACGGCCAACAACGGTGACGAATTTTTTAACCGTACGTGGGCCTTCCCTAGGTCGACTCTGCCTTAAATGAGTACCTGGCGCAGTGTGTGTGTAAAACATCTCCACTGGGGAGATGAGGGCGGCAGGGGGTGTTGCTGGCCACCCATCCAGTCGTGTGCCGTGTTGGCCTTCATAGGTGCTCGCCAACAGCACTTGCCCCGATAGTCTGATCGGGCTAAACGGGGGTGATCTTTGTCAACACGGAGGGAGAGGGGGGGCAGGGGGGGAGAGGGGGGTAGGGGGGGCAGGGGGGGCAGGGGGGGGAGAGGGGGGGTAGGGGGGCGAGAGGGGGGGTAGGGGGGCGAGAGGGGGGTAGGGGGGGGGCAGGGGGGCGAGAGGGGGGGTAGGGGGGGTAGGGGGGGTAGGGGGGGCAGGGGGGGGTAGGGGGGGAGAGGGGGGGTAGGGGGGCGAGAGGGGGGGGGGGCTACCATTGTCCTTGTGTTTGGTGTGGCTGGGAGCGCCGCCACCCCTAACGCGCCTCCCCTTGAACCACCGTGACCCCTGGCAGGCGACGTCGACGGAGAGACCGCTACCTGCGACACCTGCACGGGCCTGAGGAAGGGTTCGTGAGAGGCCACGGGGGACAGTCGCTTGGCTTCTGTAAACTGTCCTGGCGGTGTCGGTTGCTTTCAGGAGGTGTGGGTTCTCGGTGGCGGTGGTGGCGTCGTGGTGGTGGCGGGTGCGGTGATGCGGCAAGGGGGCGGCGTCCCGTCAAGCCGAGACGGACGCCTCGCGGCGCGCTTCTTGAAAGCGGTGTTCGTGTTGCTTAACCGCCCTTCCCTCCTCCCCTGCTGGACTAACGCATGTGGCGGCGGTGGCGGCGGTGGCCGTGGTGCTGGTGGAGGAGGGGGGTGGCGAGTTTGGTGTTTCGTTGGAGAGCTTTTATTTGTTCTGACGCGGCACTCTTTTGTCTCTGCAAGGTTGGTGTTTTTTTGGTTTTCCCTTGGGAATTTGCGCTTCCCCCCCCCCCTTTGTTGTTGTTGTTGTTGACGTGCATGTGTGTGTGTGCACGCGCACGTACACACACGCACGTGAAACCGTCCTGTGACAACCGCCGTCGTGGTCGACCCGCCGTGCGCGAGGGGACGCGACTCCACGGTTTGTTGTCACTCTGGCGGCTCATCGTTGACGCGACGCGACCATTGCCGTGCGGCGCAAGGTCGTCACCGGACCGCGCGGTAGACGGCAAAGGCGCAGCCCCTCCAATTGCCCTCTCGAGGCGCCGCTGGTGGAAGGGGGTCCTCCACTCCGAGCGCGCTCTAGGCAACTCCCTCCTCGAGGGTGTTTTTGGCCCAGGCATCTCGGAAGAGGCGGGGGTCGCCCACGCTTTACCCCACCGCACGCGACACCCCGCCGTTGAGACCGCACGCACGCACACACGTGTGTGTGTGTGTGTATATACACACACACACGTGTGTGTATATACACACACACACACGTGTGTGTGTATATACACACACACGTGTGTGTGTGTATATACACATATACACACACACACACACGTGTGTGTGTATACACAACACGCGCACGTGAACTCCCGTAACAACAGCCGTCTTTTGTCGACCCGCCGTGCGAGGAAACGCGACACCACATTTGTCACTCTCGTTCGTCGTTTACCCGACACGGCGGAGTGCGTCCCGGTCAAACGGAACGAGGAGAGTTGGCGGCAAACGCCGGCGGCGGTGGTGGGGGGTGGTGGCGGTTTCGCGTCGTCCCGGCGAGCGAACGTTTTGTGCGTCTCTCGCGCGTGCAGGAAGTCGCAACATTCCCTGGCGGAGGTGACGCGGATGAACGGGAGCAGCGGCGGCGGTCACGGGGGAGGAGGAGGGGGAGGGGGCGGTCACGGCGGCGGCGGCGCTGGAGGTCACGGTGAAGCTCCGGGAGGTCACGGCAGCCACGGAGACGAACTGGAGAAGACCGGCAGGTGAGAGGCGCCCGCGAGGTTCGCGGTTCGAATCCATTGGGCCGCCGTGGTTATAACAACCGTGAGTGATGACCGCAGTGTGACCTGGGCACCTGGCTTGCAATCTGGCGCAAGTCTGCCGGCAGCAGGAGGAGTCGGGGACGTGGGGGGGGGGGGCGATGGTCGCTGCTGCTGCTGCTGTGTGCGTGACGTCCGATCGAGTGCTCTGCGGTGTCATTTCCGAATTTGGCAAAAAAATGAAACTGATCGTTATTCTTTTGATAATCCGTGACCGTGACGCCGGTCTCGCGAACGACACCACGGGATCTTGGTTGACGTCCGCGGCGTTCGCCAGGTGGAGGGTGGCGCAGAGTGATGACCGGTGGGCTGGTGGTGGGGTGGGGTGCTCTGTGCCTCGGGCAGATTCTTTGGGGGGCTCTTCAAGGACATCAGGAGGAAGCTGCCGTGGTACATGAGCGACTTCTGCGACGCCTTCAACATCCAGTCACTGTCGGCCATCATCTTCCTCTACCTCGCCACCATCACCAACGCCATCACCTTCGGGGGCCTCCTGGGAGACGCCACCGAGAACATGCAGGTTCGGCACGCTCACTCACGCACACCACAGACGCCGACGCCACAAGCCAACACGTACACAAACCAACACACACCAACACAGACAAAGACAAAGATCCCCCATATAGCCTTAACAGACTGTAGGGGCAAGTGCTGTTAGCGAGCACCTATGAAGGCCGGAACGGTACACGAGGGGGTGGGTGGCCAGCACCACGCCCGACCGCCTTTGTCTCCCTAGTGGCAATGTCTACACACCGCACCAGGTACTCATTTGAGGCTGAGTCGACCTAGGGGAGGCCCGGGACCGGTTCAGATAATCGTCACTGGTGTTGGCCGTGAGCGGGAATCGAACCCTGGTCGCCAGGTTCATAGTGCAGCGCGCTAACCGCTACACTATCGCTCCCCAACACAGACACACACACACCGACACACACCTCCTGACACGCACACACCGACACCGACAGACACGTGCACACCGACACACACTGACACCTCCAGACACGCACACACCGACATGCACGTACACACCGACACACACCGACACACACTGACACCGACATGCACGTACACACCGACACACACACGTACACACCGACACACACGTACACACCTCCAGACACGTACACACCGACACACACTGACACGTGCTGCGTGTGCCGTCCCCCCGGCAGGGCGTGCTCGAGAGCTTCCTGGGCACGGCGATCGCGGGCGGCGTCTTCTGCCTCTTCGCGGGGCAGCCGCTCACCATCCTGAGCAGCACGGGGCCCGTGCTCGTCTTCGAGAGGCTCCTCTTCAACTTCAGCAAGTGAGCTGGGCCGTGTGCACGTGTGTGGGAGGTGCGTGAGTCTGGGGGTGCGTGAGTCTGGGGGTGCGTGAGTCTGGGGGTGCGTGAGTCTGGGGTGCGTGAGTCTGGGGGTGCGTGAGTTTGGGGGTGCGTGAGTCTGGGGGTGCGTGAGTCTGGGGGTGCGTGAGTCTGGGGGTGCGTGAGTCTGGGGTGCGTGAGTCTGGAGGTGCGTGAGTCTGGAGGTGCGTGAGTCTGGGGGTGAGTGAGTCTGGGGGTGAGTGAGTCTGGGGTGAGTGAGTCTGGAGGTGCGTGAGTCTGGGGGTGAGTGAGTCTGGGGGTGCGTGAGTCTGGGGTGCGTGAGTCTGGGGTGCGTGAGTCTGGAGGTGCGTGAGTCTGGAGGTGCGTGAGTCTGGGGGTGAGTGAGTCTGGGGGTGAGTGAGTCTGGGGTGAGTGAGTCTGGAGGTGCGTGAGTCTGGGGGTGAGTGAGTCTGGGGGTGAGTGAGTCTGGGGTGAGTGAGTCTGGAGGTGCGTGAGTCTGGGGGTGCGTGAGTCTGGAGGTGCGTGCGTCTGGGGGTGAGTGAGTCTGGGGGTGCGTGAGTCTGGGGTGCGTGAGTCTGGTGGTACGTTGCGCGAGTCTGCATTGACCATGGCTGATGATGACGAGAACCTTTTTGAGTATTCGTGGCGTGAACAATTCGCCTGTGCGAGAGGGAAACGCGAGGAATCCACGGACGCGATGGGACAAAATAAACAGCGCAAATTGCACGCGCGTGAGGCTGGATGTCGGGGGGAGTGGGGGGGGGGGTAATCCGGAGGCTTCCCAAAAATGAAATTTATTGGGGGACGAACAAAAACTGAATAATCGAAGGGAAACGGCGAATGACAAAACCCCGCGTGCCGTGAAGGCGTCGACGGCGCCCCCTACTGGTGGTGAGCGGGGACGCCGAGGACCCTTGGACCGCTCCTGTAAGAAAAATAAATAACATTCGTTGAAACGTTTATTGCGTTTTATTTAGAATGTTAACGCACGCGTGGACCGAGGTTAATAACGATAATGACGCTTGCAACGCGCCAGATTTTGCAGGTCAGTCAACAACTGAAGAGGCGTGGCTGGCAAGCTCCTGCAGGGCTGCTCGAAAGCCCTGGACCCAGGCAGCGATAGACAGAGGCCTTTAGATGTTTACTGAAAGTCCGATTGCCTTTGATGTTGCGGATGTGCAAAGAAGATAAATATGTAGTGTAGTGTGTAGTAGTGTAGTGTGTAGTGTATAGTTGTGTGTAGTAGTGTGGTGTATAGTAGTGTAGTGTATTGTGTAGTGTATAGTAGTGTATAGTGTAGTGTATAGTAGTGTACATTTCGATTTAAAGCTTTCGTGACTGCAAGGATTCATCTTCTTTGGTTCTTTCGGTAAAGTCACGTAGAATGAGAATAAAATAATAAAATAACACAAAATAATAAAATAACACAATAAAATTCTCACGACGTTTCAGCCGAAACGTCGTGAGAATTTTATTGTTGTGTGTAGTAGTGTAGTGTATAGTGTAGTGTATAGTTGTCTGTAGTAGTGTAGCATGTAGTAGTGTAGTGTATAGTGTAGTGTGTAGTAGTATATAGTTGTGTGTAGTAGTGTAGCGTGTAGTGTAGTGTGTAGTAGTATATAGTGTAGTCAGTTTAAAGTAGTGAATTATTTGTCTTTTGTCAACGTGACACTTTTTTTTTGCTGATTGGCCGTGTCGGGTGGTGGAGGGTTACGACATTTATAAATAACGCGATCTAACCCAAAAACCTTTATTATGAATATAGTGCAGTGTATAGTGTAGTGTATAGTGTAGTGTATAGTGTAGTGTATAGTGTAGTGTATAGTATAGTGTATAGTGACGTGCAATCTCCCTCTCACGCCGCTGCTGGTGGAAGGGGCCTCCACTGGAGCGAGCTCTCGACCGCGCCCTCTAGAGGGTGTTGTGGGTGCGCCAGTCTGGGGAGGGGGGACCCCTCCTGGCTGGACCAGACATCTTGGCGGAGCTGGATCGCATAGGGGGCCGTCCATAAATGACGTCACGCACATGGGGGGGGGGGGGGGGGTGTCAGACATTTGTGACGATGTGTGACGACGGGGGGGGGGGGGGGGTTTAGAAATGTGACGTCACTTAAAAATGCGCAACTTTAATTAAATATAGACAACACGTTCTACTTAATTAAATAGACTTTTTAATAAATGTTTTCTCCTACAACATCAGAGTGCAGCGCCACATTAAATACGCACTACAATGACAATAGTTTAAGGCGATTTGAAGCGTGTTTTTTTTGGGGGGGAGGGGGGGCAGAGCTTTGTGACGTCATATTTGAGGGGGGGGGGGTCTGACTTTTTGTGACGTCGTGTGACGAAGGGGGGGGTGGGTCAAAAATATTCCAAAATCGCGTGACGTCATTTATGGACGGCCCCTAGGCAAGTAAGAAGTTTAATTCTGGTTTAACATAAGAGGGGCGGGGGGGGGGGGTGCTATATCCGTGTGTATGTTGAACTTCTTTCGCACTGTACGCAGCCAATCGTGCGAACCGGAGGTGCGATTAGCGCGGGCGGTAAGCATGGATAAAGATAGCTCAAGTGATCCAAATAAGTTTCGATTTAAAGCTTTCGTGACTGCAAGGATTCATCTTCTTTGGTTCTTTCGGTAAAGTCACGTAGAATGAGAATAAAATAATAAATTGATAAAAGTGCCACTCCAGCGCTGTCCTACCAGACAGTCTCGTCCCTTCACCTGATGAAGGCCGCTTGTGTTGTGGCTGAAACGTCGTGAGAATATTATTGTGTTATTTTATTTTATCAATTTATTATTTTATTCTCATTCTACGTGACTTTACCGAAAGAACCAAAGAAGATGATCCAAATAAGCTTAACACGTAGGCTTTCGCGACCAATATAATCAATAATAGTTTTCTTTGGGGTTGGATCGTGTAAATATATTTACACGATCTAACCCAAAAAAACCTCATATGGATGATCCGAATGAAACTATTAATAATAGCGATGACCACGTTGCGGCTACGTCTGCAGAGACAACAGCTTCGACTACCTGGAGTTCCGCCTGTGGATCGGCCTGTGGTCGGCGTTCTTCTGCCTCGTCCTCGTCGCCACCGACGCCTCGTTCCTCGTCAAGTACTTCACGCGCTTCACCGAGGAGGGCTTCTCGGCGCTCATCTCCTTCATCTTCATCTACGACGCCTTCAAGAAGATGCTCAAGCTGGCCGACTACTACCCCATCGACCCCGACTACAGGCCCGAGTACGTCACCTCCTACGGCTGTACCTGCCTGCCACCAGTGCCAGGTGAGGTGGCCTGCCCCCTCCTCCCTCTCTCCTACATCCTCTCTCTCCCCCCCATCAGGTATCACCCTCCTCCTCCTCCTCCTCATCATTCCTTCTCCTGGTCACTCGGCAAACCAGTCACATGGCCACATGGTTACCGGGTCACAGGGTTACAGGGTCAAAATGGCTAAATGGTCACAGGGTCACACACCGCTACATTGCTATAGGGTCACATGGTCACACGTCCACATGGCTACAGGGTCACATGGCCGCACGGTTACAGGGCCCCCGCGTGACACCACGTGGTGCTGGGGTGTAAGTGGTTGATGCTGTTGAGTGCCTGCGGACTCAACGACCCTCGTCACCTGCCATCGTCACCTGCCCCCTAGCACCAGTTTCGAGTGATATCTGAAACAGCCCAGAACTGGTGCAGACATACACACCCACCACTGGTTTAGCTGTGGCCGGAAAATCAAACTCGGGTCGCTGGGTTCATGGTGCTTTGTGCGAGCCACTGCGCAACTGGTTAATGGACATTGTTTATCCAGGAGCTCCGGTTTACGCCGACAAGTGAACAGAATAAGAATCTAGTAATAGGTTTTACCCTTTTAACTGGCACAAAAACTGACACCTTTGTTCAAGGCATCATGTTTGCAATAACCACAACACAAGCAGTCAAAATGCAAACAAAAGAGACAACTCTGATAATAATATGCACTGTCCTTGAATTTGATTGGTCCACACCCGAGACGGCTTTTCTTAGAGCCTAGTCTCCACTGGTGTTGGACCAAAAGACGCCAAAAGGCGTACAACTCAAAAACAGCGCAAAGGAGGTCTCATAAAAGAATAAGAATATTTATTTGTCCTGGAGAAATCTGATGAGCTATAAAGCACCTCATGGAAAAAAAACAGTCCTACTATTCGGTGTGGCCTTTTGGGTATAATAGCAAATACATCTCAACAAATGCTATCGACGATGACGATGATATTAATGTGAGTAATATGAATTGAAGGCTGACAGAGATAAGATATTTGCCATTCGAAATGTATTGCTATAGAAGGACACTGCGTCGAGGCTGGACCCAAAGAGTGACCAGTGTAGAGGTTAGATAAAGATCGCACGTAGACGAAGATCTGATTGCAGGCGGTGATGAGAAGGGAACTGGCACCTGTGGGATAGACAACAGGGAAATTAAAAGCGTGTTATTCTGGCACCCATTAAGAGATTGTGGTCACTACTTCAGCAAAATTGCCACAAGACAGAGGAGAGTGGAAACAAACGATGGAAGGTGCAGTGGATGCCTACGGGCTATCTGCACATGGACCGCGACGCCGACGACGACGATGACGATGACTTGACGAGGCGACTGCCGAGTTGCCGGGCGAGGAGCATGTGGCTACGACAACAACAACAACAACAACGACGACAACGACGACAACAACCGCCACCGTTGACCGTGACGCTCGTACCGCGCTCTGTGCCGCAGGGAACGCCACGGCTCTCGCAAACGACTCGGCCGCCACGACGCCCTACGACCTCGGCTACGCTCTCAACGTCACCCTGGTAATGTTAGAAATAAAATAAAAAAGATGTTAGAAAAAATGTTACAGATTTTTTTGTTGTGTGCGTTATCATCATTCTTACTATTAATAAAAAAAACATTTTTGTATTTATTTTTACGGCGCTCGGATATAACGCAATCGAGCAAACAGAACTACGCCAAAGGGGGACCTTTTTTTACAGTATCAAAGAGTGAAAAAATAAGAACAGGTTTTACCATTTCTGGCAATAAAACAGCAGGTGTTAAGATGTTCAAACACCAAAAAGTACTGCAATAACCACACACGGTACTTGTGGTGAACATGCAAACAAACATGCTCTGATTATAATATATGATACGTTGCCTTTGGAACTGATTGGTCCACACCAGAGTCAGCCTCGTCTCACCACCAGTGTCAGACCAGAGAACACGAAAAGGCGGACAGCACAAGGACAATGCACGATCAGAGTAGATATATATCTCGGGGTGAGCAGCTACAAAAAGGGACCTTGTAGCCAGTAAAGTATGAAAAATAAAAATAGGGGTTTACCCTTTCTGGCAATGATGAAACAGAATCACGTCGCAGCGAGAGTAGGAATGAGCGGTTGTACGGCTGCCTCGGCGTAGCATCGCACAAGGCGGGGATGCTGCTGGATGCTTCTAGATGATACCCACCACCACGCGCCTCGGTCTTTGTTCAGCCTGCGTGTGCATCTCGCGCATTATCGCTCGCTGCGCTTTACCCTATATTATATTTTGTTTATTACGAGCTTTACTAGCCGGCTTCGCCCGGGACTTGGATTCTTGTCTTGGATTAATACACGGCCTACGCGGAGGGTTGGGGGGGGGGGGTGCGTGACGTCAGCAGGCACACTGCGTGACGCTGCCGCGTGCAGGTGACATCACAGAGATGTGACGTCACAGCTCACTTGCCGTGCAAAATCTATGCATTATTGCGCCCCACCCCCCCCCCCCCCAAAAAAAATACAAAAGTACATTGTTTTAATTTTTGCATAGTATACAGTCTGGAAAGTACCCACATGGCAAATTTCAAGTTTGTTGCATGTCGGGAAGTACGCTAAACATTTTGAACAGACACACATATTCACAAATTTCCCTTTTATATATATGTAGATAACGCGATTATTTCCTCACAACGCGGTGTTCTTCAGGAATGCGACTACTGCCGCGTGATTGGAGAACGGAGACTGTACGCACAAAAAAAGTTTAACGATTTACAAATCTATCTTTTTTTTGTTTCCGACTCTCCGAAAAACCTCGACCGCCGGGGACAGCCGCTGTTGGCGAACGCGACGTCGATGGCCGACGTGGATTGGGCCCACCTGGGCAAGAAAGCCTGCCTGAGGCTCGGGGGCTCGCTGTCCGGGCCCTCGTGCAAGTACGTGCCCGACATCTCGCTCACCTCCTTCATCCTCTTCCTGGGCACCTACTCCTGCTCCATGTCGCTCAAGAAGTTCAAGACCAGTCGCTACTTCCCGACCAAGGTACCCGCCCGCCGCCGGGGGAGACGGGGGGTGGTGTTGGTGGGGGGCGGGGGTGGGGTTGCTCAGCAGCGTATCAACTCGTAACCGTTACAACAGCGCCTGTTCGTTGCTGGGCCGCTTGGCTTTTCGTGGTCCCGTGTGCTCGGCAACTGTCGTGATGAAAAAAAAAAACGAACGATTAATTCTCGTTTCTAGTTTAGTTTAATTTTTGCTTCTACTGCTGCGTTCCAAGCTTCACGCTCGTTCGTTGCGGGCGGGAGTTGCGCGTGGCCGAGGTGGGGGGGGGGGGGGGGAGCGACGGCGTCGTTCAGCGGGCGTGCGGTTTTGCCGTGGCTGCCTCCCGTTTGCTCCTCGCGCAATGGAGACGCCGAGCTCCGTCTCGCCCCCGCCACGGTCACCGCCGCGTTACGGCACGGCGGCTCCTGCGATCGCGACGATGATACGATAATGATGACGATGTTGATGATGATAACACCATGATGTCCGATTCATCGAGCCCAGAATTATTGCAGCGAGTCGCCAACGCAAGATGGGGTGTGGGAGGGGGGAGGAGCAACGGGCAATAACTAAATGCTGGATTGCCAGCGATGCCCACATTAATCCCGAAGGATTAATTTTATTTAAAAAAAAAATCTGCCCGTTGGTGAGCGCTGGGGAACGCAGATAAAAGTCGCTCAGCCGTGGGAGGGCTGCCGTGCGACCTCCACCAGGGTCGGCGTTCGGCCGTCGGAGCAGCCGATAGCGACGTCGGTGAATCGGTCCTCGTCGTTCCTTGCCCTGCCCTCACCTCCCATGTTCCTCCCCCGCTCCCCCCGCTCCCCTTGCTCCCCTGCTTCCTCCCCCGCTCCCCCAACGCCAGATCCGAAATCTCGTGAGCGATTTTGCCATCGTGCTGGCCATCCTGATCTTCTGTGGCGTGGACGCCATGGTGGGCGTGGACACGCCAAAGCTCATTGTCCCCAAGGAGTTCAAGGTGACCCTTTGACCTGCGACCGCTCGGTCCGAGACTCTGAACTCGGCTCCGTCCACGTCTGCTGGCTGTGCGTCTCCTCCGCGCGGTCTACGTGGGAGGGTGGCGCTGCACGCCAGCGCCCCCCGCTACCCCGTGGATCTCGCCCTCCATCTCTCCCGAGCGCCCGACCCTCGCGCGTTGCCTCCGTCGCTGTGCCCAGCTCTTCGTTTCTCGCTCGAGATTCTTTCCCTTCTCGCAACTCTGCTCGAGGTCGCTCAGTCTGCGTCGGGCACTTACGCGCGAGCGCAAGAGATGACGCCTGTCCACAGTAACCCGATTGTTATTATTATTGCACCCTATAATCCTACCAATGGGTTGACAGTAGAATCCCCTCTTAACGACGCTAATTGGTTCCACGCAACCGGTCGTTGATTGATTTTGGTCGTTGAGCGAATGTAGGAAATACACGTTAAAGGCTTAATTCGTTTCGATAGCATCAAAAGTTAACCCTTTGTCACCCAAAAAACGTACTTTATAATACTTAAACAATGGATATTAATACATAAAGATACTAACAACATTATAAAAACATGTTAAAAGAAACATGGTTTCTTAACTCCCTCGCCTGGTATGAAGGAGGTCGTGGGTACGATCCCGACCCTGACGCCTGTATTTAGTATTTGGAGTTTGCGTGCCTCTCCCCGTGGTCGCGTGGATTTTTCTCCGAGTCCTCCGGTTTTTGCCTCCACATTTAGAACCGAAGCGCGTTTAGAGAATTTGGCTGCTATAAAATTTCCACGTGATGATAAGCCACTTCGTTGAGCTACCATTAGTGACAGCCAGGCCACTTCGTTGAGCTATCATCTGTAGCCAGGTCACTTCTGAAGAAGAGCGCCACAGGTCAGTGGGCCTTACCTGGTGAAATAAAAAAGTTTAGTTTACCAGAGAGAGCTTTTGTTTGGCTCGTGTCCAATATTCACTGGGACGACGAATATCATGCTCCGCCTACGCCGGTTTATAATAAATTACAAGTCGGTTGTTGTTGTTGTTGTCGCTGCCGCCGCTGCTGCTGCGCTCTGACCGCTTGTCCCCGATGCCCCCCGCGGTGCGTAGCCAACGAGCCCGCTGCGCGGATGGTTCGTGAAGCCGTTCGGCGGCAACCCCTGGTGGGTGTACATCATCTCGTCGGTGCCCGCGTTGCTCGTCACCATCCTCATCTTCATGGACCAGCAGATCACGGGCGTCATCATCAACCGCAAGGAGAACAAGCTGAAGGCACGTGGCGGGGGGGGGGAGACGCGGTGGGGGAGACGCGGGGGGGGGGACGCAGGGGAAGACGTGGGGGAGAGCCACGGGGGTAGGAGAGGAAGGAGACGTGGGGGGGGGAGACGCGTGCCTCTGCCACGTAACGTCCGTGCAGCGGTTATTGGCGCCGTGCGCTCTGAACCCGAGTTCGATTCCCGGCTAACATCAGTGGTCCTGCGTGGGTGCGGCCGTGCAGAAGGGGGCGGGGTACCACCTGGACCTGTTCTGGGTGGCGGTGCTCATGGCGCTGTGCTCCTTCATGGGGCTGCCCTGGTACGTGGCCGCCACCGTCCTCTCCATCGCCCACATCGACAGCCTCAAGATGGAGACCGAGACCTCGGCACCTGGCGAGCAGCCCAAGTTCCTCGGAGTGCGGTACGCCCAGTCGCCCCTCCTCACCCTCACCCATCCTCACCCATCCTCACCCATCCGCACACTCACCCATCCTCACCCATCCTCACCCATCCTCACCCTCACCCATCCTCACCCATCCACACACTCGCCCATCCTCACCCTCACCCATCCTCACCCATCCGCACACTCACCCATCCTCACCCATCCTCACTCTCGCCCAGCTAACCTCACTCACGCGGCTGTGCACGAGCGAGCCGCGGCACAGCAGGAGACATAACTCGTGTCGATTACCGATGAAGCTCACTCACTGGTATAGCTCACTCACTGATGAAGCTCACTCACTGGTGTAGCTAACTCACTGATGAAGCTCACTCGCTGATGAAGCTCACTCACTGATGTAGCTCACTGATGTAGCTCACTAACTGATGTAGCTCACTCACTGATGACGCTCACTCATTGATGAAGCTCACTCACTGATGAAGCTCACTCGCTGATGTAGCTCACTCACTGATGAAGCTCACTCACTGATGTAGCTCACTCACTGATGTAGCTCACTCACTGATGAAGCTCACTCACTGATGTAGCTCACTCACTGGTGTAGCTCACTCACTGATGTAGCTCACTCACTGATGTAGCTCACTCACTGATGGAGCTCACTCACTGATGAAGGTCACTCACTGATGAAGCTCACTCGCTGATGTAGCTCACTCACTGATGAAGCTCACTCATTGATGAAGCTCACTCACTGATGAAGCTCACTCGCTGATGTAGCTCACTCACTGATGAAGCTCACTCACTGATGTAGCTCACTCACTGATGTAGCTCACTCACTGATGTAGCTCACTCACTGGTGTAGCTCACTCACTGATGATGCTCACTCACTGATGACGCTCACTCGCTGATGAAGCTCACTCGCTGATGAAGCTCACTCACTGGTGTAGCTCACTCACTGATGTAGCTCACTCACTGATGAAGCTCACTCACTGGTGTAGCTCACTCACTGATGAAGCTCACTTACTGATGTAGCTCACTCACTGATGAAGCTCACTCGCTGATGAAGCGCACTCGCTGATGTAGCTCACTCGCTGATGTAGCTCACTCACTGATGAAGCTCACTAACTGATGATGCTCACTCGCTGATGAAGCTCACTCGCTGATGTAGCTCACTCACTGATGACGCTCACTCACTGATGAAGCTCACTGATGTAGCTCACTCACTGATAAAGCTCACTCCCTGATGAAGCTCGCTCACTGATGTAGCTCAGTCACTGATGTAGCTCACTCACTGATGTAGCTCACTCACTGATGTAGCTCACTCACTGATAAAGCTCACTCCCTGATGAAGCTCGCTCACTGATGTAGCTCAGTCACTGATGTAGCTCACTCCCTGATGAAGCTCACTCACTGATGTAGCTCACTCACTGATGAAGCTCACTCACTGATGAAGCTCACTCACTGATGAAGCTCGCTCACTGATGTAGCTCACTCACTGATGGAGCTCACTCACTGATGAAGCTCACTCGCTGATGTAGCTCACTCACTGATGAAGCTCACTCATTGATGAAGCTCACTCACTGATGAAGCTCACTCGCTGATGTAGCTCACTCACTGATGAAGCTCACTCACTGATGAAGCTCACTCACTGATGTAGCTCACTCACTGATGTAGCTCACTCACTGATGAAGCTCACTCACTGATGTAGCTCACTCACTGGTGTAGCTCACTCACTGATGACGCTCACTCACTGATGAAGCTCACTCATTGATGAAGCTCACTCACTGATAAAGCTCACTCCCTGATGAAGCTCGCTCACTGATGTAGCTCAGTCACTGATGTAGCTCACTCCCTGATGAAGCTCACTCACTGATGTAGCTCACTCACTGATGAAGCTCACTCACTGATGAAGCTCACTCACTGATGAAGCTCGCTCACTGATGTAGCTCACTCACTGATGGAGCTCACTCACTGATGAAGCTCACTCACTGATGAAGCTCACTCGCTGATGTAGCTCACTCACTGATGAAGCTCACTCATTGATGAAGCTCACTCACTGATGAAGCTCACTTACTGATGTAGCTCACTCACTGATGAAGCTCACTCACTGATGAAGCTCACTCACTGATGTAGCTCACTCACTGATGTAGCTCACTCACTGATGAAGCTCACTCACTGATGTAGCTCACTCACTGGTGTAGCTCACTCACTGATGACGCTCACTCACTGATGAAGCTCACTCATTGATGAAGCTCACTCACTGATGAAGCTCACTCGCTGATGTAGCTCACTCACTGATGAAGCTCACTCACTGATGAAGCTCACTCACTGATGTAGCTCACTCACTGATGACGCTCACTCACTGATGTAGCTCACTCACTGGTGTAGCTCACTCACTGATGATGCTCACTCACTGATGACGCTCACTCGCTGATGAAGCTCACTCGCTGATGAAGCTCACTCACTGGTGTAGCTCACTCACTGATGTAGCTCACTCACTGATGAAGCTCACTCACTGGTGTAGCTCACTCACTGATGAAGCTCACTTACTGATGTAGCTCACTCACTGATGAAGCTCACTCGCTGATGAAGCGCACTCGCTGATGTAGCTCACTCGCTGATGTAGCTCACTCACTGATGAAGCTCACTAACTGATGATGCTCACTCGCGATGAAGCTCACTCGCTGATGTAGCTCACTCACTGATGACGCTCACTCACTGATGAAGCTCACTGATGTAGCTCACTCACTGATAAAGCTCACTCCCTGATGAAGCTCGCTCACTGATGTAGCTCACTCACTGATGTAGCTCACTCACTGATGTAGCTCACTCACTGATAAAGCTCACTCCCTGATGAAGCTCCCTCACTGATGTAGCTCGGTCACTGATGTAGCTCACTCCCTGATGAAGCTCACTCACTGATGAAGCTCGCTCCCTGATGAAGCTCACTAACTGATGTAGCTCAGTCACTGATGAAGCTCACTGATTTAGCTCACTCACTGATGTAGCTCACTCACTGATGTAGCTCACTCACTGATGAAGCTCACTCACTGATGAAGCTCACTCACTGATGTAGCTCACTCCCTGATGAAGCTCACTCACTGATGTAGCTCACTCACCGATGAAGCTCACTCACTGATGAAGCTCACTCACTGATGAAGCTCGCTCCCTGATGAAGCTCACTCACTGATGAAGCTCACTCACTGATGAAGCTCGCTCCCTGATGAAGCTCACTAACTGATGTAGCTCAGTCACTGATGAAGCTCACTGATGTAGCTCACTCACTGATGTAGCTCACTCACTGATGAAGCTCACTCACTGATGAAGCTCACTCACTGATGAAGCTCACTCACTGATGTAGCTCACTCGCTGATGTAGCTCACTCACTGATGAAGCTCACTCATTGATGAAGCTCACTCACTGATAAAGCTCACTCCCTGATGAAGCTCGCTCACTGATGTAGCTCAGTCACTGATGTAGCTCACTCCCTGATGAAGCTCACTCACTGATGTAGCTCACTCACTGATGAAGCTCACTCACTGATGAAGCTCACTCACTGATGAAGCTCGCTCACTGATGTAGCTCACTCACTGATGGAGCTCACTCACTGATGAAGCTCACTCACTGATGAAGCTCACTCGCTGATGTAGCTCACTCACTGATGAAGCTCACTCATTGATGAAGCTCACTCACTGATGAAGCTCACTTACTGATGTAGCTCACTCACTGATGAAGCTCACTCACTGATGAAGCTCACTCACTGATGTAGCTCACTCGCTGATGTAGCTCACTCACTGATGAAGCTCACTCACTGATGTAGCTCACTCACTGGTGTAGCTCACTCACTGATGACGCTCACTCACTGATGAAGCTCACTCATTGATGAAGCTCACTCACTGATGAAGCTCACTCGCTGATGTAGCTCACTCACTGATGAAGCTCACTCACTGATGAAGCTCACTCACTGATGTAGCTCACTCACTGATGACGCTCACTCACTGATGTAGCTCACTCACTGGTGTAGCTCACTCACTGATGATGCTCACTCACTGATGACGCTCACTCGCTGATGAAGCTCACTCGCTGATGAAGCTCACTCACTGGTGTAGCTCACTCACTGATGTAGCTCACTCACTGATGAAGCTCACTCACTGGTGTAGCTCACTCACTGATGAAGCTCACTTACTGATGTAGCTCACTCACTGATGAAGCTCACTCGCTGATGAAGCGCACTCGCTGATGTAGCTCACTCGCTGATGTAGCTCACTCACTGATGAAGCTCACTAACTGATGATGCTCACTCGCGATGAAGCTCACTCGCTGATGTAGCTCACTCACTGATGACGCTCACTCACTGATGAAGCTCACTGATGTAGCTCACTCACTGATAAAGCTCACTCCCTGATGAAGCTCGCTCACTGATGTAGCTCAGTCACTGATGTAGCTCACTCACTGATGTAGCTCACTCACTGATGTAGCTCACTCACTGATAAAGCTCACTCCCTGATGAAGCTCCCTCACTGATGTAGCTCGGTCACTGATGTAGCTCACTCCCTGATGAAGCTCACTCACTGATGAAGCTCGCTCCCTGATGAAGCTCACTAACTGATGTAGCTCAGTCACTGATGAAGCTCACTGATTTAGCTCACTCACTGATGTAGCTCACTCACTGATGTAGCTCACTCACTGATGAAGCTCACTCACTGATGAAGCTCACTCACTGATGTAGCTCACTCCCTGATGAAGCTCACTCACTGATGTAGCTCACTCACCGATGAAGCTCACTCACTGATGAAGCTCACTCACTGATGAAGCTCGCTCCCTGATGAAGCTCACTCACTGATGAAGCTCACTCACTGATGAAGCTCGCTCCCTGATGAAGCTCACTAACTGATGTAGCTCAGTCACTGATGAAGCTCACTGATGTAGCTCACTCACTGATGTAGCTCACTCACTGATGAAGCTCACTCACTGATGAAGCTCACTCACTGATGAAGCTCACTCACTGATGTAGCTCACTCGCTGATGTAGCTCACTCACTGATAACGCTCACTCACTGATGAAGCTCACTCACTGATGAAGCTCACTCACTGATGTAGCTCAGTCACTGATGTAGCTCACTCACTGATGTAGCTCACTCACTGGTGTAGCTCACTCACTGATGTAGCTCACTCACTGATAAAGCTCACTCCCTGATGAAGCTCGCTCACTGATGTAGCTCACTCACTGATGAAGCTCGCTCCCTGATGAAGCTCACTAACTGATGTAGCTCAGTCACTGATGAAGCTCACTGATTTAGCTCACTCACTGATGTAGCTCACTCACTGATGTAGCTCACTCACTGATGAAGCTCACTCACTGATGTAGCTCACTCACTGATAATGCTCACTCACTGATGAAGCTCACTCACTGATGAAGCTCACTCACTGATGTAGCTCAGTCACTGATGTAGCTCAGTCACTGATGTAGCTCACTCACTGATGTAGCTCACTCACTGGTGTAGCTCACTCACTGATGTAGCTCACTCACTGATAAAGCTCACTCCCTGATGAAGCTCGCTCACTGATGTAGCTCAGTCACTGATGTAGCTCACTCCCTGATGAAGCTCACTCACTGATGTAGCTCACTCACTGATGAAGCTCACTCACTGATGAAGCTCACTCACTGATGAAGCTCGCTCCCTGATGAAGCTCACTCACTGATGTAGCTCAGTCACTGATGAAGCTCACTGATGTAGCTCACTCACTGATGTAGCTCACTCACTGATGAAGCTCACTCACTGATGTAGCTCACTAACTGATGTAGCTCACTCACTGATGAAGCTCACTCGCTGATGAAGCTCACTCACTGATGAAGCTCACTCACTGATGAAGCTCACTCACTGATGTAGCTCACTCACTGATGCTCACTCACTGATGAAGCTCACTCACTGATGAAGCTCACTCGCTGATGTAGCTCACTAACTGATGTAGCTCACTCACTGATGAAGCTCACTCACTGATGAAGCTCACTCGCTGATGAAGCTCACTCGCTGATGTAGCTCATTCACTGATGTAGCTCACTGATGAAGCTCACTCACTGGAGTAGTTCTCTAACTGATGTAGCTCACTAACCCACTGTTATGCGCAGTGAGCAGAGGGTGACTGGGGTTGTCGTCTTCCTGCTCACGGGGTTCTCTGTCTTCATGGCTCCAATCCTCAAGGTACCAGCAGCAGCGCCGGATTCAGCTAGTGCGGGGCCAGTAGCATAAGTTATAAAGGGGCCCTAAATAAAAAAAAAAACACCGCACAAATATTAAAACACGAATGTTTTACTTGCACAGTAAAGTAATTGTATTTTTTCATTTGCTATACAGCCAGATAATACGACAAATCGTTAACCTGAAACACCCAGTCGTTCATAAAAGTTGAAGGCAGTATAGTACTATAGTAATAGAGCAAGTGCAGAATCACTGAACCAGAATTGATAGCTTGAAAGCATTTAGCGTGGGGCCCTTGAAAGTGCGGGGCCCGTAGCCACAGGTGTAGCTACTACCACTGTACATGTGTAGCTACTACATATGTAGCTACTCGTGCTACATGTGTAGCAACTTTTGCTACTGGGATAATCCGGCACTGACCAGCAGTACTTCCGCGTAGCCTCGCCGCGTCTTGAGGAGCACCTCCGAATAAGGGAGCATCCTCCCAAATCTCGTGTTACCACCCGGCACACGACAGTGGAATGCTGTGCCTTTGTTTTGCCGCTGTATATAAACTAAACTATAAATCATTAAAAAAAAATTACTAGGCAAGGTCCCACTGAGCTATGTAGCTCTCTTTTCAGAAGGGACTTGGCCCAACTTGATAAGCCGCTTCTGTTGAGCTACCTTGTGGTAATTGATAGCAGCCCTACATGTGGAGGGAAAAACCGGAGGACCCGGAGAAAAATCCACGCAACCATGGGGAGAACATGGCAGCCCGTATATGCGTCGGGAGCGGTGGTGCAACGGTTAGCGTGCCGCACTATGAACCCCGGCCACCCCAGTTCAATTCCCTCTGTGCCAACACGGGTGACGGTCATCCGAACCGATCCTTGGCTTCCCACGTCGACTCGGTCTCAGATGAGCCCCTGGTGCGGTGTGTGAACATCGCCACTGGGGAGACAAAGGCGGCCGGGGGCGTGGTGCTGGCCTCCCACCTCCTCGTGTGCAGCGCAGGCCTTCAACGGTGCTCGCTGACGGCACTTGCGCCTGCAGTCTTTTAAGCCTATCGGGGGAATCTTTGCCGGTAGTGGTTTAACGCACCGGCGCGCGATTCCCACTCGTGGTCAACATCGGTGGCGAATAATGTGAACCGGTCCCGGGCCTCCCGCAGGTAGATTCGGCCACGAACGAGTACGCAGTGCGGTGTCTAAACATCACCCTCCCTCGTCCCTCCAAAGCGTGGCGTGTGGACCCCGTGTGACCGTGGGGGGGGGGACCCCGTGTGACCGTGGGGGGGGGGGACCCCGTGTGACCGTGGGGGGGGGGACCCCGTGTGACCGTGGGGGGGGGGGGGACCCCGTGGGACCGGGGGGGGGGGGGGGACCCCGTGTGACCGTGGGGGGGGGGGACCCCGTGTGACCGTGGGGGGGGGGGGACCCCGTGTGACCGTGGGGGGGGGGACCCCGTGTGACCGTGGGGGGGGGGGACCCCGTGTGACCGTGGGGGGGGGGGGGACCCCGTGTGACCTTGGGGGGGGGGACCCCGTGTGACCCCGTGTGACCCCGTGTGACCGCATCTCGTTGTGTTGCCCCTCCCCAAGTTCATCCCGATGCCCGTCCTCTACGGAGTCTTCCTCTACATGGGAGTGGCGTCTCTCAACGGAGTCCAGGTTCGTTGGCTCTCCGAGGATGTGCAGCCGCACGTGGGTGCCGGCGTGAGTCGGCGCTCACGGGAAAGCCCAGGGCAGTCTCTCTTTCCCACGAGAGAGATGCCAGTGCATCTACCCCCCTTCCCCCTCCTCCCTCCTGTTGTGACAGCCGTAGAATACCTGGGTGACAGAGACAAACGCGGTCATGCTGTCCCCCCCCCCCACCCCCGCCACCTGTGAGCTCCACCTGTGTTTCTAAGTCGACCAAATTCGACTGGCAAACCCTCGTGGTATCTGTGGTGATTTACGCGATAACAACACGGGCTATTTGGTGATGCTGCTGCTGCTGCTGCAGCTGGCGGCGATGCACAGAGACAATTGACGAAGCTCAACGCATTCACCAAAAGCGCTGTGGCCTTCGCCGAAAGCGAGCGTTTAATACGAAATATTTCAGGCAATGTCCCCTGACCAGTGGTCCTGATAATCATCCGATTCGCTGTGGTTTCAATACCGTTTCCGCGCTATGTTTAGGTTCGGTTTGTTGTCCTTCCCTTCCCCCCCCCCCCGCACCTCCGGTTGGCTACGCACGGTGCAAAAAGAAGTTCAACAGACGTGTGGTTCCCATGCAGGTCTCCATATGAATCAACGTGTCCCCGCTGGCTCCTCGCACGTTTCACCAAGGGAGTCGATGGCACTGTTGCCCGCTTCAATGCGACTTTACTCTTACTCTCCCATCCCACCTCGTCGCTGGAATGTCTCTCCTTCGTTAAGATCGTAGAGCGTATAATGGCGCAGTGCCCCGATCCATAAGTGACGATGATGCCACTGCTCCGCCAACTCCTGTCCGCGGTTGTCTGGGTTTGACCACCTGAACGTGAAGTTGTAGCCGTTGCTCTGCAGCTGCGTCAGCAGCTGTACACAAAGAAGTCTACATCCTGCACCCCGCACGCTGCCCTCTCTGCCCAACACCATCACCACCACGCGCCCCTTCCCCCCCTGTCTGTCTCTGTCCCCGAAGTTCATGGACCGGATAAAGCTCTTCCTGATGCCTGCCAAGCACCAGCCGGACTTCATCTACCTGCGGCACGTCCCTCTGCGCCGGGTCCATCTCTTCTCCTTCGTCCAGATCCTGTGCCTCACGGTGCTGTGGATCCTCAAGTCCACCGTCGCTGCCATCATCTTCCCCGTCATGGTACGGCGATCACCCCGCGACCGCCGCGTCGCCCGTGAGCCACGAGGGCCCCGGGGAACGCGGGGCCCCTCGTGTGTGGCCGAAGTATTGCGAACGAGTGCGGGGCGGGGGTGGGGGGGTGTTCCTGTTCCGCAGGGATGTTTTAACATCGCCAGTGGGGAGACAAAGGCGGTCGGGCGTGGTGCTGGCCACCCCCCACCACCTCGTGTGCCGTGCCGGTCTCTCACAGGTGCTCGCGAATAGCACTTTCCCCAGCAGTCCGTATGTTGGAGTTCGTGCCGTACACAGCCAACCGCGCAATACGAGGGGGGGGGGGTGGTCTTTGTGTATGTGTGTGTGTATATGGAGGGGGCTAAACGGGCACGGTACGGGCTAGAGAAGACATGGACAGATGTGGCGGTTACAGAAGGAATGTGGAGCTGGTTGGACTTGCCGATGACCGGTAGCCAGCGGTGTCAGGGTCGGCCTCTGTGGAGGAGGTTCGTGAAGGACGCGATTGTTGATTAGGAGGCAGTCGCCCTGGGCACCCCCCACCCCCCCCCCCCCCCTCGTGTGCCGCGCGTGCCCCAAGAGTTGTGCAAGGCTACAAGGGGGGGACGGGGGGGGCGGGGGGATCTTTGTCTGCGTTTGCCCTGCGTGGGCTCTTACCGAGACGTGCGTGCACCCCTCTGCTAGATCCTGGCCCTGGTGGCCGTGCGCAAGGGCATGGACTACATCCTGTCTCAGCACGACCTGGGCTGGCTGGACGACGTCATGCCCGAGAAGGACAAGAAGAAGAAGGAGGACAAAGAGAAGAAGAAGAAGAAGAGCAGCAAGCCGGGCGAGGACAGCGACGACGACGAGGAGGAGGTGAGCTGTGGGGGACATCGATCCTGCAGGAGTGCAGCTCCGTTTGCTTGGTGCTTGTTTTTACTTGGTGCTTGTTTTTACTTGGGTGTGGAGCTCTACGGGCTTAAAGCAGACAAGGGGAGTTCAGCCCACGGGTCGTTAGCCCACGGGTCGTTAGCCCCGGGAATCTGACCTCCGGCGTCTCTCCCCTAACGCCAAAGGCAGCGAATCGTCTTCGCCTGACAGCTACCACCACCCCCCCCCCCACCCCCTCCTGTCGGCAGCAGGCGCAGCCCGGCGGGACGGAGGCGGAAGAGTCGGTGGTGAAGATCCAACTCGAGACTGCAGAGCTGCAGCCCTTCCTGCGGCAGCAAGGTAGGCTGGGACGACGGGCTCGCAGCACACGCACGCACGCAGGCCCAAACTGGCACCTCTGTGGTCACAGGGTGGGTTTCGATTCGAGACTTGGTCATCTCCGCTTGGGATGTTGGTCATATTCCCCCGTTTCCTCCCATAGTTGCTAACAACAACAATACACAGCGTCACTGGTGACTTAACGTTCGTGACTGCAGGAATTCATATTCTTTGGTTCTTTCGGTAAAGTCACGTAGATGGATAGTGGCTATCAACGGTACCCATGGTTGAGGCTGGATTATGGACCGGGCCAGTACCCTGGGGGCCTCAGACTGCCAGGGGGGGCCTCCAAGCCTCAGGCTGCCAGGGCCCTCAGTGCGCACAGTGCAAGCTGACCACGAGGCCCCTGGATGATTATAGCGTGAGCTCACCACTTGGGTCCCTGGGCCCCTACGCACTTAAATCGTGAGTTGACAACTAGGGCCCCCGGGCCCCTGGGTGCTCACATCGTGAGTTGACCACTAGGGCCCCCGGGCCTCTGGGTGCTTGCAGTGTGAGTTGGCCACTAGGGCCCCCGGGCCCCTGGGTGCTCACATCGTGAGTTGACCACTAGGGCCCCCGGGCCCCTGGGTGCTCAGTGTGAGTTGACCACTAGGGCCCCCGGGCCCCTCAGTGCACACATCGAGCGTAACACCTCGGGGCCCCTTGGTACATACAGTGCATGCTTAAAACGAGAGCCTCTTGGAGAGTGCAGTGCTTCTGTACAACTGAGCCACTGGTTGGCATGCTACAATACGCTGTGACATGATACAATATTCACCAACAAGTCAGTTAATTCTGCTTAACAGGACAGTTTGAAGGGCGTCATTATGGCAAGCCGTTCGTTATTTGACTTGCCGTCACAAGCTATCCCTTTATTTTCGCTAGCTGCCCATTTTCCCTAGCTAGCTGCCCATATGATTCAGATTATTAGCAGAAATTAGTTAGCTAGCTGCCATTTTTTTGCCAGCCAGCTGCCCTTATAACCAAATTATCTGCACTAAAAAGCCAGCAAGTGAGACCGAGGGCTCGTCGTTTGTTGAGAGCTTAGTTAGCCGTTGACAAACAAGTTATTAAAATTTCGATTTAAAGCTTTCGTGACTGCAAGGATTCATCTTCTTTGGTTCTTTCCGTAAAGTCACGTAGAATGAGAATAAAATAATAAATTGATGAGACTGTCCTGACCAGACTCTCTGGTAGGACAGTCTCGTCCCTTCACCTGATGAAGGCCGCTTGTGTTGTGGCCGAAACGTCGTGAGAATATTATTGTGTTATTTTATTTTATCAATTTATTATTTTATTCTCATTCTACGTGACTTTACCGAAAGAACCAAAGAAGAAGTTATTAAAAATACACCGCGATTTTGTGAAACATTAAAAAAATATGCCAAAAGCCATATTTTTTCATACACTAACGCATATAAAGATTAAGGAAAACCCCATTTCTTTTTTTCCCATAGACTGTGTACTTTTAGATCCACGTAAGTAGATAATGCTAACGTTGACATGCAAATTGCCTACCTCTGGAGCAGTTGGGCAATTCACAAGAATCAAATCAGCATTATGGCAAAGCACTTCCAGTGACATTAAGTCAGTGCTTATTGAAAGAGGAGCAGTCCCCTTCCAAAACCGCAGTGAAAAATACCCAGCTTCAGTCCGAGATAGAGCGCTTGGTGGAAAGACTAGAAGTTTCAACTTCTGAACTGTATATTGCCAAATGGGCAGAAGGTTTCTCGACAGTGGCTACTATACTCACCCTCAACAGGTTGTGTGCACTGTTCTGCATGCAAACTGTTCTCCAGCAAGCTCGATGGCTTTGGTGACTGTCAGCACTCTGAAAGAATAGGGGAACACGAAATGAGTGCAGAACACAGATCATGCGTGCTTGCCTTGCACCAGCGGACAAAGGGCAATGCTATAGATGCAGCAACTTGATGGGGAACTTAAAGACTGGAGGAACATTTTGAAAAGAGTTGTAGCAGTGATAAAGTTATTGGGTGAAAGAGGGCTTGCGTTTAGGGGAGATGGTGAACGGTTTGAGTCAACCCATAACGGTTATTTCCTTGGCATCCGAGAATTGCTATCACAATCTGATCCATTCTTAGCTTAACATATTAAACAGTGTCCTATTTGTCATCGACAATGTGAACAACTCATTGAGCTAATGGGTCAGAAAACTCGCCAAACCATAGCAGACGAGATTCAGTAATTGTGGACTCCACCCTGATGACGAACGCTTGTGTTGCGATCGAAATGTCGTAGTTTTTTTCTTATATTTTTGTTATTTTCTTTGAACCTATCTACGTGACTTTACCGAAAGAGCCAAAGAATATGAATTCCTGCAGTCACGAAAGCTTTAAGTGGTGCCATAGTGGAAAAGGTAAATGCACTTTCCGCTGCATATCCATCAGAGCTGGACGTGAACTTAGCCAACGAACTCATCCAATTCAAGTCCTTCATGTCTGACTCTGAGGGTGAGAAGTGCCCAACTAAATTGCTTGAGACGTTGCAGGGCACTTAATCTGCAGTCAGTGTGTTCCCCAATGTTTTCGTGGCACTTCGGATTTTTCTAACTTTGCCGGCGACAAACTGCCAGGGTGAGCGGACATTTTCCCTTTTAGGCAGAATAAAGAATGAGCTGTGGGAGTAGCGCGTTACCAGACACGTCTCAGCTCATTGTCACTTGTGTCAGTAGAGTCAGAACTTGTCAGACAGCGAGATGTTGACGATCTAGTGGATGATTTTGCAAGGAGGAAGGCAAGAAAGACACCAATATAGGAAAGCGGGGGGGGGGGGGGCCTCCAAAAGACACGTGACCAGGGGCCTCACGGGACCATGATCCGGCCCTGCCCATGGCCCACCCAAAACCACTTCCACTGTACAAACCATGGCAGCGGATGCCCGACGATGCACAAAATATTAAAAACTCTCCAGTAGCGGTGTGCCACTGTGGTCGTCCAGAACAGACCGCAGCAACGTATGACGACGCAGCGATCCGTACACAAATGCGAAGGAGACATCACGGCCGATACAGACACAAACGCTGCCGCCGCTCCTGACGCGGTCGTCCGGCTTGACCGCCTCAATGTGAAATTGTAGTCGTTGCTCTGCATGAGCGGCCGCAGGACAAGTAGAAGAAGATTGGGCACGATCTTCTCTCGAATTGCCGACCCATTCTAGTCGGCCAGTCGCGCCAGGCGGCGAGCGGCGACCGGGCACAGCCACGGCAGACGTCATTTTGTCTCCCCCTCCCAAGGTGACGACGCCCCCACAATCACGGAGCGCCACACCACGTGTTGATGCGGCGGCGCACACGAGCCACTCCCGGACAGGTGAGGCCCGGAGGCTGCCCCCCAAACCCACACACCCCCACACCCCGACCGGGGGAATGCGGGGGCTGCTGTAGGCTTGGAGGTGACGGCACACAGGCACACAGCAACACCACAAATGGGTTGAGGATCTACATCGCGCGGAGATGTACGAGCGTTGCTCACTCGCATTCAGGTTTTTTTTCCTCCTCCGCATCCTCCCAATTACCCCTGCACACGACGCCAAACACCGCTTAAAATGGAGTTAGGCAAGTAGCCCAACAGCGGCATCTTCCTTGAAAATGCGCCTCGAGACTCGGCGAAGATTGTTCTGTAAATCAAAAGGGAATTCGTGTCATTTTTAACGTATTCTCCGGATCATAAGATGCTCCGGACAAAGTAAGACGGCACCCCAAGGTTGCAAAAGTCTGATCGCTCACACACAGCTACCTTATCACCCCCCCGCCCCACCACCACCATCATTTTATCTTTAAAAAAGAAAGGGGGGGGGGTGTGTGTGGGGGGGTGAAGAAACGTCTTTGAATGCGGAGAATGCGGTTTTCACAATGATTAACTCTGCGATGCTGGTGTGTGTGTGCTTCTTCCACAGGTAGTGTTCGTGCTGACGTGGCCACTCCGTCTCCTCCGCCACGCCGCCACCCGCGCGCCTCTCCCCCCCCCTCCCCCTCCGTGAAAACGACTGAAACGCGCTGCGCTTTAAGATACGGCTGTAATAAGCGAAAGTGCTGAAGCCAAGTCAATATAACCCCGTCGTTAAAACGCAGTCATTAATGTAAACGGAGACGATCGTTGTTCGCTAACACACACGGCCGTCGGAGTTTGGTGGAATTACGCGACGGACGTTTGGCGGAGAGATAAGCGCGCGGCGGCCGCGTTGGCCAACGCCACGCGCAACAAGATCCCTCGGCCGCACCATGCTGCTTCAGCTGCTTCAGCTGCAGCAGCTGCAGCAGCTGCTCAGGTCCCTGCTGCTGCAACCATCTCACATCAGCTCCAACAGAGCCACCTACGCAACGTTGTACTTTTGCGTTTCAATTCTTCCTCCACGTGGCTATTTCCCCGCCCGCCCGCCCGCCCCCCCCACCCCGAGGAAGAGCCACGAGTTTCTGCGTACACTTTGGGAGAACCAAGCATTTCTACGCGAAGATTGGTGCTCGTGCGTGTGTTCGACGGCAGAGAAACGTTGCCGATTTTTATTTTGTTTTCCCTCTTTCCTGGGTCGTGCGATTTCTGCCGCAAACGCTGCGGTGAGTCGAGGAGCAGCGCGGCGCGTAGACGTTCGGGCGACGTTCAGGCGACGTTCGGGCGACGTTCCCACGCGATCACGTCGGCAAACGGCATTCGCCCTCCGAAGGAGGATGCGGTGCACACATTCGCCTTTAGGTACCGGCGACTTTATTTATTTACACTTAAAAAATAAATCATTCGCTCCGTTGTAGAACTGATTATATTTAAAAAAATATATAGAATTTTTAGTTTAAAAAAATAAGCGGAAGTGCAGTTTGAAATGTTGCGTGCTCTGTTCGAAGAAAAAAAATGTGTTTTAAACAGTGCACCGTAAACCTGTAGAGCCATTCTTATTTTAGAATATTCACTTGAATTCACGAATCGCGCGCTAAGCATATTTTTATATCGGCTTAACGAAAACTTTTTTAGTCGTAAGCGAAATGATAACTTTAACACCACCAATTAAAATTTGCACACTGTAATACTATATACTCAAAAGTAGTCTGAATAAAATACACACTATAACGTCAGTTAAACCAGTGGCACTTCACATCAGTGTAAACACGTCATAGGCTTTCGCAACTCATGTTACATAATTTTTTTTAGGTCAGATGGCTTAAGTAAAATGTGTGTCTTACACCCTCCTCCACCTGACACAGACAATTAAGTTGTCACGTGAACAACCGTGCGACGTTACAACTGCTTCAGCAGCACAATGATCAGTGGTGTTGGGACAGCAATCTAACAACATTGAACAATTTTCACATTTCTAATGGAAACTTTAGCAGGTAGAGGCCACTGTGCTACGAGGTCTGTTTCAGGGGCAAGTTGGGTCACACACGATATCATCAGTCATCACACGTGGGAATTCATTGTCGTAATCAAAGTAAACTGAATACATACATGTTTCTGAATGTGGAGGGCAAAACCGGAGGACCCAGACAAAAACCCACGTGACCACAGCCAGAGAACATTCCAAATATACAACCGTCTTGCATAGCAGGCGAGGGAGATAACATATGCGTGGATTGCGAACGACACAGCTGGTGCTGCTGAACCACAAATAAATTTGCAGATTGATCGGCACGTGACCACTTTATGAATTGGCTATGTCGGGTGGTGGAGGGTGTACGCCACACACTTTACTTACCGCGGCCATCCGACCTAGACACCGATTATGAAATTTCCATCGGGGTTTATTTTCAGTGGCGCTCTGCGTGCCCCGAGTGGCCGGCTCGACGATGCACGCGCTCATTTCACGGTGCTCACTGGGTTCACGGTGGCGCAACAACGCTGCCAATCTTACGGGGAGTCGGGGGGGGGGGCAGACCTGGGATGAGAGGTGGGGGGGGGGCTTGTCGCCTCCCAACCCCCCTGCGAGACCTCGCCCTGGCCATGCCATGTGTACCGTGACAGACGGCCCAACTGTGCAACTGTAATAGTGGCACCGCTGGGCATAAAAGCAAACTAAAAAAACCGAAATAATTCCTCCACTGGGTCCCCACCCCCCTCCCCCTAATGGGGCCCGGGCACCGGCAGTGCACCGTTGCACGTGTGCCGTGCACAGCAGAGCGAGGGCAGGAAACGTGTTCACGCGGGATGACCTCGCCACGTCAGTTGGGGCAGCGAGGACGTTCCAATCTTGACGTTCCGATGGGGCTGCAAGTCCCCCCCCCCCCACCCACCCCGGTTCTTAAGTAGTTGTGGACTCCTCCGTGGGGGGGTGGGGGGGGGCGAGCGCAGACCGCGACGCGGGGGGTGGGGGGTGCTTACCGAACAAAAGGACGGCAGAGCGAACCGGAGGAGGCGCCACACTTGAATGGCGCAGCGTGCGCGCCCGAGCCGTGGTTGGTTGGCGTGGAACCGTCTCGGGATATCGCCGCTTGTTAAACACCGGTGACAAACAGAACAAATGGATTTCAAAATGACAGGTATTAGATTGTTTTTTTTTTCCATTTAACTTGTTGGAAAAACTGCGTATAAGAATAAAGAATTTAACAGTGCTTACACATTGTACATTGGCATTATATTTCTCTGCAGGTGAAATCAAATGGGTAAAAGGTGCGCCCCCTTGCAATTGCTTGCTCTCAAAGCCACTGCTGGCGGAAGTGGGCGATGGAATCAAACCGGTGACCTCCGTTTTGCAAGTTCAGTGGACTGACCATTTCATGACACTGCTGCGGTAGCTCCCACACACACACTATGTAGACCGTACTTGTGCCACGCTACACCACCAGTGTCACACGAGCAACAGCAGTGTCACACGAGCAACAGCAGTGTCCCGCGCTACACCGCCAGTGTCACACGAACAACAGGCAGTGTCCCGCACTTATACCGACAGCGTCGCAATAGCAACGCCAGTGTCCCATGGAACACACCGACAGCGTCGTGCGTCGCGTTCCACGGCGAAACTGCGGCGGCGGTGGTGGTGTGCCACGCGCGAAAAGGAAACACCAAGTGCGCAAATCTGAAGAGCAGCTCAACGTTTTTAATATTAGGATATGGAGGAGGAAAATAAAAAGTATACCCATCACTGCAACAGCCAGCATCCCACGCACGTGAAGGGAACAACAATGTGCAGGAACGCAGTTAACATAGTGGACTAAAAAGTACTGCCGAGTACTCAGAAGAGCAGGGATGAGATGGGGAACATCCAGTTTAAATGCTTTCAAGATTTGGAAATTCTGCGCTGCTGCAAAAAGTCGACCTTTCAAGAAATATTACAGGAGGGGGCGGGGGGGGGGGTGTACACATTTCTACAGCGAACCATATCTTGAGTGCATGAAATAAATAAAAAAATACAGACACCCACAATAACTCAGCATATTAGGAATGATTACAGTTCTCTTAATTAATTCCAATCAATTACCTTCTCAATTCATTACAATACAATTTCATATATTACGTATAATCCTCAGTCAAACCCATTTAATAATTATTAGAATAATAAAAAAAATACGCTATGAAATAATGACGATAAATGAACACTAAGTACAAAACAAATAAAGGAGAGTGATGTAACAGGGATTTGGAGCTCCGATTGGGGGGTTGTAGTCGTGTCCTACGCGCTTTGCACTCCCATCCCCCGAGACTACCTCCAGGGCACGCGTTTCACTCCACAACTGGCACCATCTGCACCCCGCCCCCCCGGCGCGTAATCTTTTTCACGTCCGAGGTGGCAACCACGATCCGCCCCTAAACGTGGAACGTCGTCGGGAGCAGAGTCGGGGGGCCAGCGTTGGGCCAACCACACGACGACGTTGGCATGGTTTTACCGGGACTACCACCCCCATCTCTCCCCAGCATTTTACCAACAACTCATCCTGTTCCTTAATATTGTAATGGTTATTTTCAAACCAAACTGAAATAGTTACGCACGCAATGGGCGAGCATTGCACTGCGAGGGCCACTCGTCAGCTACACGGGAGGGGACATCGTTAAACAAAAAACAGCCACCAAATCCATTCTAATAGTTTGGCAAAAAAAATAGAAAAAAAATTACTAAATTCTGTATTTTTTTTATTTTATTGGCAGGCAGTAAGGTAATTATATTTCATCCAACAACAGGCTGCCTGGTTGAAGAAAAAAACACAATGACAAAGGCCTTGGGCTAAATACAACAATTTACACGGCAATACACACAACAAAAATACACTTACAAAATGAAGATAAAAACACCAACCGCTCCAACCCCTGAAGGATATCGACACTTCCGATTTAGAAAGAAATAAAATACATACAAGCGAAAATACAGGCAGAAAAAGACTAAAAGCTTATCCCTGATCTTCCTTGTGTTTTTCTTCGAAAGAAAATGAGTTCAAGTCACAAAACAAGAAAGGCAGGCAACCCCTTGACCGTAACAAACTTGAAGTTCATGCCTACACATGATCCTTGTCCTGTTTCAAACTCTGAAGCTGTATCAAGTTTACGAGGGATGGTTCGAGTTCTGCTCCGAATCTTCACGATTATAGCCAATGAACGGCTGCATGACAGGCCTCGGGCCACACACCCACAGGCCTCGGGCCACACACCCACAGGCCTCGGGCCACACACCCACAGGCCTCGCCAGATACCCACACAGGCACAGCCAGAGACCGACAAAAGCAGACCCAATAAGAGGCAAAGCTGACCAGACACAAACCACACCAGGCCTCATCTGAGACCCAAAGAGATCTCGCACACCAGAACCAGGAGACCTCACCACGCCCACAGATCTCACTAGGCAGCACCAGACCTCACCAGAGGACCAGGGGGGGGGGGGCCCTAACCAGAGCCACAAACGATGGACGCCGACGACAACCTGACCTCAAGTGTTCCTGGGCAACTGCTGTATTCCAACAATCACATGCCGATCTCTCCTGAAAAAGCACAGCCACACCTCGCGCTATAGACTTGAGAGTTGAGGTATTTCATTCGCCGCTCGCAGTCTCTCCCTGCACGTCGTTTTAGCACACTGCGATCGGCTCCACGAGTCGAAATCTGTTATACAAAAAAAAGTGTTTGCTTTTATGTTATTCTTTAATAACTGCAGGAAGTTAGCACCATGTTTGTCAGGACACTCAAAAGTTATCTGAAAATGACTTCAACTTTTTTCAATTAGGAATTTTTTTGAAGTATTTTTTGTACAGTTTTTTTTCCCGTGTTAAAAGCAAAATGTCAGGAGGGCCAGAGCCGATTTTGCGAGAGCCTTTTTTTTTGCCCAATGAAAAGTTGCATAAACGCTTGAACCTCACCGAGGCTCTCCTTTCCTGTTTCACCTGCAGATTCTCGAGATAGCGGGGAGGGGGGGGGAGTTCCTGCCTCAAGGAAACCAGCAACTATTCATCGCGATGGATAAATGCTTCAGTTTTAAAAAAGAGGGACCCCTTCCAAAAGATTCACAGAGTTGCTTAACTCACCACCCCTCGTCGTTTCCGACGATAGCATGATGCACATTTTTCGTAAATGTCTATTTTTATCACGTATTTAGAATTAAACATTCGTTCATTCTCGATAACGAATACAGTATGTGTGTTCAACTCAGGTGTGGAGAGAGCCAGAGAGTAAGTTGAACAATTACATCTTTCTATACAGTAGTCTGCAGATCCTGCAGTGGGGGGAAGAGAGGGAGGGAGGTTGCTTTTGAGCGGCAACGGAAGTAGCGCCCGACACAGATGACGAGACGTGCCAAATCGCACTCCCGCAAAAAAAAAATTCGCTTAGCGTTTTCAAGTTGTTACTTAAAATCAAGTGGAGAAAGTGCTTTCTTTAACAGAAAATTGTAAATTTACAATGGTAACCGGTTAAAGAATAATCGTCATTCTTATTATTATAAAGACAACTTGTCTAACAAATGCATCACTACCCTGTAAAAAAAAAATCGTAAAAAAACACAAACGACACACGACAGAAGGCAGGAGCTCAATCGGCACTGCCTCTTACCCCCCCCGGCGGGGAAGGAAAGGGGGCTTGGGGGGGGGCACCCCCCCACGCTGACCACCAGTGCCGCCACTCTCACGCACCCCGCCCCCCCCCCACCAACTGAACGTAAATTAAAATCGCTTTGTAATGAACGCAGTTCTTCTAGACAGTGTCGCGTAACTCCTCAAGTCAAAGTCCCTGTGATGTTGAGCACCAATAGCATCCAGCAAACTCGAGAAATCTTAGAAAATCCCAATACACGCTTTGCTTGTAACGCACACATGCACGCACAACACCCTAAATTAGCAACGTGTACGTGCCTGTTTTGCTTCAAAATCGTAAAATCCCTCGACAAAACATAGTTACAAAAAAAAATCACAATACCATTATTACACGCAATTTTACATGTGTAAAAAAAACTCCACCTCACCGACGACAAAAAAGGAGTCTTCTAGGCTAAAGGTAAAACACGCACGCAAACCGCACACCCAATAAAAATGCACCGGATTGATGTAAACCAACTTCAAAAGTGACCGATCAGCACCAGTTTTGTCGCGTCACACTTTGCGATGACCGTTGACCGGTAGACGTCAATCGCCGTCGCCTACAGTAAATAAAAAAAATCATGAAAACAGACGCTTGGCAATCTCGGCCGATGATGATGATGCCGACGGTGACGACGGAGAGGTGAAGTAACACCCGCGGGTGACAGAGGTGGGGGGGTAAGCGGGAGCCTGAACCTCGGAGGCACGAGGCAGCACCAGGGGCATGGGGGGGTTGGCAGCAATCGATGGGAGCGCACGGCCCCCCCCACCGCCTTCCCCCCCCCCCCAACACGGCTACACCCAACGCCTCGCTTGCATAGAACCACGAAAACGCGGCATTCCCGACTCCGCACGAGCACCGGCAAACGTAGCACCCCGTCCACGCCGTAACCCTCGGCCCCGTTAAGCACCGCTGCGTGGAACCGGGTTTAAAATGTCAACTCCGATGTGTGTTTTTAAGACATTTCACGTTTAAAGCAGGCCTTAATATTGGTTGCAGTTGTAGAATTTGTTCCGTTTCGTTCACTGGCAACAGCGTAACTTTGCGATTCAAAACGGGCGGTCGAAATAGATCGTCTGCTTACAGGAGAGGGGGAGATACTTTGCTAGAAGCCAAATCTTGTACCTGGCAGGCATGACCAGGAAGAGCCCCACTCTCTCTTTCTCTCATCACCCAGCAACCAGCTCCTAAATCCATCCACCAGCAGCGACGCCACCGCTCGCAACGGCAGCTTTGTAGGCGCAGCCACCACCACCATCACCAACAACACCCGTGGCCTCATTCGCATTCCCCACAGCATCTGTCTGCGTTTAATTGCTGGTGTATGTTTAAAAGGTATTGTTGTTTTGTAATTGGGACCGTACAGTAGTAAGTTTGCAATTATACACGTTTCCCAGTGAGTTTTTGGTGGAGGTTGTTAATCAGCTGGTGCGATTATTTCACGCCGGGTTTGTAATCTGCCGCGACGGAATCGTTGCATATCTTTCAGGAAGCCTGCGTGAGGGACGCTAAATGACCCAGATGGAGTCGCGAGACTTGAGGCTGCGGATGGCTCTTCCCAGGCCGCCTTCGCCTGCAAGGATTTCACTATTTTTCTCCCGTAATTCCGAAACATTTTCTCCACCCCACTCCACCCCTGCATTGTGGCGAAAGCCCAAAGTGAGAAGGCGTCTCCTCGATGTAAAAGAAACCGAATGTAAAAAATACATTAAAAAAACGCACAAAGCACCCGTGACGCGGTGACACCATCCCTCAGAAATAAAACACATTTTAAGTTTTTTTTACATTTTAAACAAATTTTGTTTTGTTTTGCACGACGCGTGCCAATGAGTTTCGTTGTTAGCTGCCGTTCCGAAGTCGATGTCGACTCCAGGCTAAAGCTGCCATTTTACGTTTTGCAAGAGATTCAGTTTTACAACCAGTAATTCAATACTTGTACAGCAAACCTGTGAGAAACTTGAGAGAATGTTTTTTTGTGTGTGTTTGTGCACGTGTGTATTTTTGTTTATCCTCTTAGATAAAAAAAACGGCGACGAATCTGACGAGCCGGCGCGGACATCGGTGAAACTCGAGCGGACGCGTGCCGCCAGGGGGTGCCCCCCGCGGTGCCCCCCACACACCGCTCACACGAAGTGAGAGTAGTTCCCGGAGAGGTGCGTGCAGGGCTTGGAGTGCGCCGTCGTGACGGAGCAGGTGGCGTGCGAGAGCGCGCGCAGCGTGGGGATCCCCTCCTTGATCGCGTACGAGATCGGCGGCAAGTCCAGGAAGTCCATTACGTTTTCCTTCACCTCGGCCACCTTGGCCCTCTTCGCCGCCGCCGCCGACGACAACGAGGATGGGGAGGGCGCCCGGCTGACGGGGGTCTCGGCGGACGGTGCCGCCGGCACGTCGCCGGCGCCGCCGCCGCCCTCGGCCGCCAGGTGGTTGGCCGACTCCAGCTCGGCCATCTCCGCCGCTTCGCGTTTGGCTTTTTTGTCGGCCATCTTGGCCTCCCATAGTGCAAGGCCGTGCCGCGGCACATTGAGGCTCTTGTGCTGGTAAAAGACCAGGGAGATGCGTGTCGGGTGGCGGCGGTTCGGCTTCCTGAGCGGCGTTGTGGCGTGCAGCTCGCGTTTGGCGCACTCGATGAGCACCGAGCCGTGCGCGGGAGCGATGGCCACGCCGCCAATTTCCCGATCCAAAAAATTATGCTCGCTGTCCGACCACACCTCCTCCTGGTCGTCCTGGTGAGCGGCGCCCATCTGGGAGGCGGCACCCTGCGCTGCGTGCGCGCCGTCGCCCATTTTCTGGTGGCAGCCCTCGGCGACGCCCAATCCCTTGATGACCCCGTTGACCCTCTTCGTCGGTGCGGCCTCGTCCCTGCCGACCTTGAGCGGCGAGGACGCCACGTGGGGGGGCGGCGGCGGCGGCGGCAGCTCCGTCGTCGCGCCCTGCGGCTGCTGCAGGTGGTAGCCGCCGCCGGGCGCGTGGTGCGGGTGGTGCGAGTGGTGGGAATGCGGAGACGACGCCAGCTGCCCAGCCCACGGGGACACCGACGGGTGGTACGCCGCGGCTGCCGCGGCCGCCAGGTAGGCCTGCGCCCTCTCGTCGCCCAGGTCGTAGCCGCCCATCGCCGCCCTGGTCGGATCCTCGGCGTAGTGGGGCGAGACGGCGAACGGGGCGGCGCCGTAGAAAGCGGCGCCCTGGTACCCGTGGTAGCCCGGGGACGGCGCGGACGCTGCCGCGGGATAGGGGTAGTGCTGGTGCATGAGCGTGTGGATGGGCGGCAGGGTGGGCCGCGCCCCCATGAGCTGCGCTTGGTGGTGGGCGTGGTGGTACGAGGGGTGGTACGGAGGCAGGGCCGGGTCCGGCTGCGGCGACGGGTAGAGCCCCGCGTGCGGGTAGGGCGGTGTGGCCGGCGTGCCTTGGTAGTGCGGAGAGGCCAGCGCCGAGTGCGGGCTGGGCACCGGCGTGTGCGCGCCATAGCGCAGCGCGGCGTACTGCCCCAAGGGGTCCACCGCCGCGTGGTACAGGGGAGGCGTCACCGCCGCCAGCTGCTGAGGACCGTTGCCTGAATCGGACACCGCGGAGAAACAAATCGCCCTCAGCACTCAAGACTCACGGCCGCCAACGGAGCCTCGGCGTGGTGATGAATCGACCTACCTAGTTTAGACCGCTTCGTCTCATCCACACCATCTTGAAACACTACACTGCAGGTCCCCCCCCACCAACACACTCATCGATTCCTCCACACATGCCGAGGAGACGTCTACATTACGGTTTCATGTCGTCCACAAAGTATCCAAAATACCACATTTTACACAGGGTCACATCACTATCTCTTCCTGATTTTCTCGCGAATGCCCAACTTTGGACATTCCCTCCCCTCGTTTCTGTTCCCACATTCGCAGAACATCCAATTCAAGAAAAGTTTGAACTCCGGATCGACTCCGCATAAAGCACACGTCAACTCGTTGGGGAATGAGGTGTGGGCAGAGTATGTGAAAAGGAGATATGCGAACATCCGTAGATGACAGCTTACGCCGCCCGCAAATTGGTTACCTCACAATTACAAAAGCGCAAACTGCTTTCCACGCGGAGAAACGCAATCCTGCGGGCACTGGGTGTGGGCGGTCAATCGGTCAGGGTGGCGACACGACGGTCGGGGATACGCGACGTTGCACCGTGTTTGTAAAGGGGAGAGGGTGTTGCAAACCAGAGAGGGCGGCCAACTGCAGCTGCTGCTGGATCTGGGAGTGGTGCTGCGGCGACGTGAAGGACTGCGCGTCGGCCATGCCGCCGCCATGCTTGGAGCCTCTTCCCGGCGTGGCCTGCGACCTTTCCGCCCTCGCGTCTCCCCCCGCCGCACCGGGAAGGCCGTGCGGCTGGACCGGCGATGCCGTCGTCGCCGTCGTCGCCGCCGCGGCCGCCGCTGCTGCGGCCGCCGCAGCTGCGGCCGCCGCTTGCTGCTTCTCTGCGGCGGCTCGCTTCGCCTCCGCTTTCTTTCTGCGACCGGACTTGACGGGCTCGGCGAGCATGCGGACCTCGCGCGGGAACGATCTCAGCACCTGCAATGGCGAGGCAGATGCGCACGCGCCAGGTATGTTACCAGTGTGTGACCGTTGTTACCCGTTTGCTACCGTTGTTACCTGTTACTACCACCTGTGCACGTCACTACCACCTGTGCACGTCACTACCACCTGTACACGTCACTACCACCTGTACACGTTACTACCACCTGTACACGTTACTACCACCTGTACACGTTACTACCACCTGTGCACGTTACTACCACCTGTGCATGTTACTACCACCTGTGGATGTCACTACCACCTGTACACGTCACTACCACCTGTGCATGTTACTACCACCTGTGGATGTTACTACCACCTGTGCACGTCACTACCACCTGTACACGTCACTACCACCTGTACACGTTACTACCACCTGTACACGTTACTACCACCTGTGCACGTCACTACCACCTGTGCACGTCACTACCACCTGTGCACGTCACTACCACCTGTGCACGTCACTACGACCTGTGCACGTTACTACCACCTGTGCACGTCACTACCACCTGTGCACGTTACTACCACCTGTACACGTCACTATCACCTGTGCATGTTACTACCACCTGTGCACGTTACTACGACCTGTGCACGTTATTACCACCTGTGCATGTTACTACCACCTGTACACGTTACTACCACCTGTACACGTTACTACCACCTGTACACGTTACTACCACCTGTACACGTTACTACCACCTGTACACGTTACTACCACCTGTGCACGTTATTACCACCTGTGCACGTCACTACCACCTGTACACGTCACTACCACCTGTACACGTTACTACCACCTGTACACGTTACTACCACCTGTACACGTTACTACGACCTGTGCACGTTATTACCACCTGTGCATGTTACTACCACCTGTACACGTTACTACCACCTGTACACGTTACTACCACCTGTACACGTTACTACCACCTGTACACGTTACTACCACCTGTGCACGTCACTACCACCTGTACACGTTACTACCACCTGTGCACGTTATTACCACCTGTGCACGTCACTACCACCTGTACACGTCACTACCACCTGTACACGTTACTACCACCTGTACACGTTACTACCACCTGTACACGTTACTACCACCTGTGCACGTCACTACCACCTGTGCACGTCACTACCACCTGTGCACGTTACCGCTATGTCACCGTCTTGACCTGTATGGCTCCAGTGCGAATGCGCTCGTCCAGGCTGTGGGGGTCGCCGTGCTCGTCCAGCTCCGCCAGCTTGTAGAGCGGCAGCACGTGCAGCTGCTCGTCCTCCGGCACCACGCCGATCACCCGGTTGTCCTCTTTGGTCAGCGTGCAGACCTGTTGGCGTCGCGGGCACCGCAGGGCGTATGTGGCGATGTGCGTGGCGTTGTGTGTGGCGTGTGTGTATTACAAATAAAGACGCTAAAGCGCGCCCGTCCGGTTGACGGAGGACAAAAGGAACGCGCACAAGCCAGCGGCACTTGACCCAAATATTGGAAATTTTAGAAATTAAATCAAGTTACACAACTGGAAAAAAACACACACCAGCGTCACCCGCCCCACCCTCCCATGAAACTACCACAATTCTACGATTGTCTGTGAAACGGCACTTTTGGGATCGTAGCCTTGCGCTGTAAGAATCGTGCAAATACAAATAGCAAGGTGGTCAGGATTGCTTTTACGGGGGGGGGGGGGGGGGGGGGGGGGGGTAGGGAGGATTGGGGGCTGTGGGGGTGACGCCGCCGGGAGTGGCAAGCGTACCACGGTGCTGCCGTTGGGCATGTTGTGCTGGTCGCGGTGAGCGTGGGCGCAGAAGTCGACGCAGGCCGTGACGCCCGAGAAGGGCCGCCCATCCTGCAAGCCGAGGCGGCAGTCGGGGGCGGATACCTCGTGCTCCACCTAACCAGCAGAGGGCGGCAGTGGTGTGTCGGCGTCGCGCCATGCCTTGCCGTATAAACGAAAGCTCCGATTGACCGATAGCGGTTAAAGGAGGGGGGGGCGTGCAAAAAATCAGTGGGGGGGGGGGGGTGGATGGGGGGAGCCCCGACGTGGTTGACGTTAAACAAACGTTGAACAAATGTTAAAGGCTCAAGGGGAGGAGTAACGGTCACATCTGCTCTTGTCTATCGTGCACTCCGCCACAACTCTCACGCCCCGTGTACTCGAGTAACGGCTGCGAAGTCCGTCGCCTGATCACTCTCTCGTTTTTGCACCAACATTTTTGACCCGACCATGAAGATTTAGCGTTAGCGGGGCTGAGCCGTCGGCAGGGGGAAGGTCTCGGCCCCCTCCAGGGCCACCAACCCCCCACCCCCTTCCTCCACTGCTGCGGAGATATTTTTTTCAAACAATGGTTTTGTACAAAATCATTTGATCGGACTTCCTCCACGCTTGCTCATCCAAGTGTCGCTGCCTCCTTGAGGTCACTCAAAGTAATTTCCAACTTCATGAGCATCGAAGTGGTGCTCATCTTCTGTTTACAGCCCCGAACCATTGGTGTAGATAGGGGACGAGTCTACCCATAGGCCAACCACTGTTTGACTTTCCCAAAACGTGGAACTCGTTTAATCACCTTTAGGAGGACAATGGGCTGAGTCAACCCCCCAACCTGGATTTGAACTCGCGACCTTCCGATGCGTGAATTCACACGTTTCCCGTGTGCGTGTGTGTGCGTGACAAGGCTGCATTGGCTGGGTCATGTAGCCCGTATGCCCAGTCACCACATGCCCAAGCAGCTTCTGTTTGGCCGCATAGAGGGGTCTAAACAGGCACGACTGGAACCAGCGGTCTCAAGATCGACCTCTATGGAGGAGGCTCGTGAAGGACGCTACTGGGTAGTTAGAGGCAGTCGCCCTCCAGTAATAATGGACGGCAGAGGAACGACGCTCACAACAATGAGTGGAGCGCTGGGTGGCTAAACTACAGCAAGTCGGCACCAGTAGGGGGTACAGCTGGTGCATCGGCCGGTTATTTCAGTCAGCCAACCCATGGCACCTGGGTCTGTCCCGAGACCTCCTGTCAGCGAGCCTTCGACACTTCACGTGGCCTCAAAGTGCACCTGGCCTGTGAGAGGCACCGTGGTGACGTCACCGTCACTTAGTGGCGAATGGCGGGTATTGGTGTGCGTGTGGGTGGCATGTGCAATACCTGGTTAGTGTAAGCGTCTGGGGCCAGCTGCTTGTACACCGGTCCCACACGGGTTGCCAGCTCCTGCAGGTAAGACTCCAGCTTCTCCTCCTATCGCCACAAAACACAGACCCCGGTGACCCACCCACGCCGACGCAGCTCGGCCTTCTTTTGCGAATGACAACAAGGGACCCTTTCAACGTCCGCTGTGCAAGCAGACGGTGCTTACATTTACGGTTTATGCACCCCGCAGCGTTAGAATCGGGGCAGCCGCTGGATTCAAACCGCGAACCGCCGCGACAAGCGGCGAACGCGCCACGGGCTGGGTCACATCACCGCGTCTGCGACCGGACGCAGGGCCAACAAAAAAAAACGCAGAGCGCCACAGCCCCCAGGGGGACGACGGGTGCTGGCTCACGCACCTCCTTGGAACTGTCATCTCCGTTAAGCTTGAACTTGCGCGGGTACTTGCTGCGCGCAAACTTGCAGCCATTGTAGTACATGCTCCAGGAGCAGCCGAACGAGAAGGAGGCTCCGCAAGTCTCGGTGTCCAGGCCCTGGCAGGCGCAGGTTCGGCTACGGGCGGGACCACGCGGAGGGGCAGACGCGACGAGTCCACACGAACGCACGCGCACGCACACACACACACGTGGGCACACGCGCACAACGAGCAACGAGACTCGAGTCAGTTTGTGGTGCCCAGCAGCGTCAGTTTGGTCAAACGTTTGTTTATTTAATCACCGTCGTAGTACGATTCGTAAATAGATTTTTGGGTTAGGCCACATCATAATCTGGCCACATTTATGTTGCAAGACCCTCCACCATCTGATGCAGCCGAGCAAATCGAAAAAGCAACTAATAGATGGTTATCGAATTGCTCTTAGGTCAACGCTCTTTGCAAATGAGACTTCTACACCTCCTGGTCCCTCTCTCTCTTCGAGTTCTCACCTGGGGTAAAACAAAATTATTAAAACTTGGGGAACTTTTAAGCAACGCGCGTTGCGTGACGATCGGTCTCACTCTTCGTTGAGGCTGCACCGCCGGCAGGTGGGCACGCCGTAGTTGTTGAGCGTCGAGGTGAGCTCGTTGTAGAGGAGGTCGGCGAGCCCCCGGTTCACGCCCTCCCACGCCATGATGGCCATGACGATGACGGCGTTCTCGCACCGGTGCCCGGCGCGCTCGCGCACGATGCACAGCAGCTTCTCCTCCTCGCTGGCACGCCGCAGGACCTGCCAGGCCCCCCCCCCCCGCGCCACAGCCACCGCTCACTTACACAGGCCCCTTGCAGTGCACCGACGCTTGCTAATATACATACCTGCCACACTAGGCGCAGGACTTGGCAGGCCAGCGGTGTGATGGCACTCACGAATATAGACACATTGGTTGACATGTCGGATGATCCAAAACGGTTTTGTTTTGGATTGATTTTGAAATACAACGCGATACGAAGTGATGTCACTTTAATGATGTCATGTCCATGTTTCCCCCCGTTAATAGTGCTATCTATGCGATGACGCTTTGGCTTAAATTGTTAAGCTTTACAAAACATTTGCACTGGTATTATTGTTTTACGGATGACATTCTCTTTGGTTCTTTCGGTAAAGTCACATAGTAGGTATAAAATAAAATACATTTATTTGAATTAATTTATTTTATACCTACGTGACTTCACCGAATAAAATAAATTAAATCAAATAAATTTATTTTATTTTATACCTACTACGTGACTTTACCGAAAGAACCAAAGAGTATGGATCCCTGCAGTCAGGAAAACTTCAAATCTAGATTTTACTGATGACACTTCATGCAAACAATATATATGTTTTCAATTACTAAAGATTATCATCTAAGTTCGACAAAATACACTTAAAACTTAAGCAACACATCGCATGTCTCTCACTCTTCGATTGGCAAATAAATTCAATTGCCAAATCAAACCCTTAAAAAAATGCACCCTAGGGGGCGCAGTGGGGCAACCCTGAAGACGTTTTCACTAGCAATGAAAAAGCTCTGGGACTCTGTTTCTTGCGCAATTCCGCGCAAGAAACTGCCGGAAGAGGTTTGTGTGTGCGAATACGCACGGCATACAGGAGGTCGTGGGTTGAATCCCAACCACGACGCTTGTAAATTTGGAGTTTGCATGTTCTCCCCGTGGTCGAGTGGATTTTTCTCTGGGTCCTGCGGTTGTTCTCTCCACATTTAGAAACATCCGATCAGTGTATTTGGATGCTTTGAATTTCCAGGTGATAAGCCACTTCGTTGAGCTATCATTTGTGGGCAGGTCGCTTCTGAAAAAGGAGCTTTATAGCTCAGTGGGCATTTATCTGGTAAAATGAAAATAATACATAGTTTATAAATAGTTTTATAGTTCACTCACCCACTTGGCGATGGGGCAGCCCTGGGAGCTTTTGCCTTCCTTCCCAGTGTACACCACCTTCTCTATCCGCACGGCTTTGCCCTTCTCACCGAACCTGCAGTGAGAACCGGCCATGTTCCCCAAACAGAAGTGCATTAGACGGTACCTGGCCACCGATGTGTTTCAAAATGGCAACTCAATCAATCCACCTCTATATTTTACACCGTTATTTGGAAATCCTGCTGCTGTCGCGACAGCCGTGGTGTACAAAAGCACAATTAACAAAAAAAAATAACAACCTCACATTCACCTATATATAGCACCACGGTCTTGAAAAGGAAAATATATAGTGGGCGCAGTTGTAACACTGAGCCTCATAGCAACAAGGATCTGGGATTGATCCCCGACGCGGGCACCGTCTCTGCGTGCAGTTGGTACGTTCTTCTGCCCGTTCTGCGTGGGATTCCTCCGTGCTCTCCGGGTTCCTCCCATAGCTAAAAATAATCCCATGCAATGTAACTGGTGTGGGGCCAAAACATCCCAAATTCCACGGGACCATCGAGTGAGGCCCCCCGCACGGCTCTGACGCGCCGGTGGAAAAAAAAGGGGGGTAATTGGTGGGCCCGTACAAACACCGCGTGAGGCTTTGTGCCACTGACCTAGTCTCCATGAGGTGGCGTACGGCTGCCACCGTTGGGCCGGCTCCCAGGTGCGTGTAGTAGGGCCCTTCGTCCTTCTCGACGATTTGATCTGAAACATCGCGCATCGTCACACCGCGCTCAGATATTCGCCACACAGATTTCAACCATATACAACACCCCTCACCCACCCTCCTTTTTCTTAAACCATGCTCAATGCGTACTCCTTGAAATTAAATGTTTAAATACTCATTAGGTGTCTGAAAACACCTTAATATATAGGGGATGGCAGTGCTTGGGCAATTGTTACCTTCCCGTTTATCTGTGGCTCCACAACATTATAAGATGGAATTTGCATGAACGACGACGTTATGTATATAAAACAATCAAACCCAGCCATGCTTCCAGTCCCATACATATTTCCACACCCATATTTGCCGGGAGTATTTATGACCTTTGACCGACACACTAGAAAGGCAGCTTCAACCCTCCCATCATTTCACCATCACTGACACCCCCCACTACACCCCAGCCCCTCCACTACCCCCACCCCCTGCCCCGGGCCGACCACCCACATGTTCTTGACCCAATGTATACATGTACGGGGGACCGAGTTAACACCAGGCAGTGAAGCACAGGATCAAACTCGTAATGGGAGTATGTGTCAAAAAAGTTGAGATAATTTAACGACAGTTCCGTCAGCGGCACCAGACGGATGGGTTTGGTTGTACCGCCCGCAGACGGGAGTTCGCTGATCATGGTGTCCGCGAAGGATCGTACGGGGAAATTAATTCCATGAACTGGCCAGGTGGCTCAGCCGCAGAGCGAGCGGCTCGCAATCTGAAGGTCGCAGGTTCAAATCCTGGTTGGGGGTTGACTCATTCCATCACCTCTCCAGGGGGTCGATAAAATAAGAAGCCACTTTGTGGAGAATTCAACAGTGGTTGGCCCTCTGGAGAGACTCAACCAGAGCACAGAAGTGTGGAATTTCCACCACTGGCTCTGGGCTGTTAATGGGCGATATGAGCACCAATGCCTACATGCTCATTTCGCCTACCAACGCGGGATGGGGCGAACACAGTCCGGTGTGGGATGGCGTTCCTCACGTCCGGAGTCGGAGCGCATCAGCAACTGTCGTACGGACAACTGCCCAGATCGCAAAGAGCACAACGGGGCCTGAAATGGAGCCCTTGTGGAACACCACGCGCACTGCATACGCGAGCTCGATTAAAATTCTGAATTCTTCACAAGACCCAACGGGATACATAAGAAACATGCAATGGCATCCATTTATGGGCCTTCCCTAGATGCTCCAATAACTGGAAAGGCAAGGCAATGATGTCAAAGGCTGCAGAAACTACCTAAAATGGACAGTGTGGTAATTGTCTCTCGTAGGCCATGAGTCCAGACCAGATATTTTATCTGTCGGTAATACCTGAGGTGGCATAAAGTGATTGATGTGGCCAAAGTGAATTATGTGAACGCCACAATTAACATTATCCATCTTATGTGGTACTTAATCTCTACTCTGGCACGTGACCTACTTGTCCATATTCACAAGTATAACACTGTTCATGTTAACCAGAGCGGCCTGCGGAAGGTGGTGGTGTGGCTATAACCAGAGTGAAGTGTTTTAGATTTTAGCTTTGAAGATAAGCCAGCAGCCACACTTTGGACGTAAATGACAGATGACAAATCAGGCCATAGTCATTAACACAGCTTGATGCCAGAGGTGGCTTCTTGAATAATGGATATCCTCCGGCTGATTTAAAAGCACCTGCGAAAGCCAACGGCACCGTGGAAGGTTTGCTGATTGGCACCAGTTTAATTGGTGACAGGTCATTTAACACGGGTGGCAGGAAGGAAATTAGCTACGAATCAGCAGGGCTTGTAAACTTTTCAGGCCTTTTTTTGTTACTTTTCAGGAAGGTTGAGCAATTTCTGTGTCTGCGTGCTCCTGTGTCTGTTCAATCCCTACTGGATCTGTGCTGTCTCTGCTGTGAATGTCTGCTGTGTTCATGTCTTGTTTTGTCGATAGAGGGCACTGTGTGGAAATAACTGCCTTAAGAGCCACAGCTTCACCTTTACGCTAAGGAGATGGGTGTGTGCCCCGTGCCCACCTTCATCAGTGCTTGCTGACAGCACTTGCCCTAACAGTCCGTGAAAGTTATACTGGGGATCTTTGTCTTTGTGCCCCGAAACACACAATTCATCGTTAACCCCCCACCTCTGGAACTGCTTGGCTCCGGGCCAGATTCAGATTTCTTGAGGACAGAATGCCATGGGGTTTGGTCATGGCTCGGCTCGGATATGCCAATGGAAAAGAGGTATACGGCGGTCCAGCTATTATCTGCCATCGTCATTACACTCCACGATTTATGAATGCACGTGGTAGCTAAAAGGGACACTAATGGTTTCAGCCTGTGAACACATAGGTGTGTGTGCGGGGGTATGTGCGTTTGTGGGGAGAGGTGGTGCAGTGGTTAGCACGCAGCGCTACGAACCCGGCGACCCGAGTTGGATTCCTGCTCACGGCCAACACCCCGATTATCTGAATCGGTCCTGCACCTTCTCTAGGTCGACTCGGCCTCAAATCAGAACGTGGCGCTGTGTGTAAACATCGCCATTGGGGAGACAAAGGTGGCCGGGCGTAGTTGCTGGCCACTCAACCCCTCGTGTGCTGTGCCGGCCTTAATTAGGTGCTCGATAACAGCACTTGCCCCAGCAGTCTATTAATCCATTACGGGGTATCTTTGCCTTTGTGCGTTTGTGCACGTGTGCGAGCGTGCGCGCCTGTATGCGTGCGCACACGCGGCACGCGTGCGAACACGTTGTGCATACGCGCGCACGCACACAGAGAGAGGCTGGGCCTTGTCAAGCACCCAACTCTCCGTGGCGCGGCGCCCCGGGTGGGCGGCGTCGACCGAGTGACACACTTGGAGCCGTTCGCTCGCAGCGGCGGCAGCGCCAGAGAGAGACGCCGCGCGTCAGCAACGGACGACCGCCTACACTATACAGGCCCCAACTGCTCACACGGGTCCGGCACCCCACCCCCCCTGCCCTACCCTTGCAGGATCCTCCTGTGCCGCCGTGGCCTTAAGGGCCCCTCGCCAGAGTCTACACTTTCGTGGCCCTGTACGCCAAACCATTTTTTTTCATTTACCAAGTAAAGGCCCCCACTGAGCTATGCATTTCTTTTTCATAAGCGAACCTGGACCCAAACGAAGTGGCTTATTGAGTGAAAATGTACAGCAGCAGCCAAATACTCTGAAAGTATGTTTCCAAATGTTTAGAGAAAAGAAGCGGAAGACCTTGAGACGCCGACTCCTCCTGTGGATGGTGAGACTGACGCGGAAAGAGACGCTGCTGCTCGCAAGGTGCCCGCCGCCGTGTGAGCGCACGCTTTACTCCGTTTCTCCCACGGCGTCCCGTACTCACCCACGCAGCTGCACGGAGGAAAGTCCACCTGGCCCTTCTTGGTGGGCGTGTCCAGGATATTTTTGGTCGGCGTGTCCAGGTACTTGAGCGGGGACTCCAAGAAGCTGCTGAGGATGGATGGCGGCTGCTTGGCCGGAGTCGAGTTTCCCGACAGCGTGGCCCCCTTGTCCTCCTCCCCGTCCATCCCCACGGACGCGGCCAGGGTGGACAGCACCGTGATGGGCCCCGTGCTCTCCACCTTCACCTGGAGGCTCTGCCTCTGCAGGTAGGCCGCCAGGTGGGCTTTCACGGTCGAGGATGACGGCACGGACGACGACGGCGGCAGCGAAGATGACGACGGGGACGAAAAGGAAGCGCGCGTCGAACTGTGCGTCCCCAAATCGTTGCTCGCTCGGTGGCACATTTCGGCTGGCGTGGGTTCGGTTTTCAAACGCATGTTGTGCGGCATTGGCGTCTGGTTAGCCGGGAGATCGGCGGATGCGCGAACAGAGCCTGGGCGAGACGACTGTGGGTGGGAGACGTCCATCCGTTGCTGCTGCTGGTGCTGCTGCCGCTGCGACAAATGGTCCGACGACTCGGGGTCCTCGGCGATCTTTATCTCGAGCTGCCGGATGATCTCCTTCAGGTCGTCGTTGTTCGGTTCGTGCATGGAGGACTGCTGCTCTTTTCGGCTCGACATCGGCGAACCACTGCGAATAACTCTGTGCCCCAAGTCGTGGCCACTCGCACCTCGACTGGAGAAGCAAATCACTCCGTTGTCCGGCTGGGATGTTTTCATGGACGAGCCCCGTTTATCCTGCTGCTCTCCCGGCCCAGATGTTTGCTGAAAACCAATGCTGTTGCTGCGAGACAGGCCGCTTTTGTAACTTGAACTATGTTGCCCCTTGAGTGCTGCCTTGTCCCTGTGTCCCTGCGCGGGGTGCTCCTTCGACTGCATCTGTTGCAGACGATGCTGCTCGCTCCCGAGCACTTTCTGGAACAGCCCTTCCTCCCCGCCCTGCATGTGCTGCTGCAGAAGCCTCTCCAGCGCCTTCTGTTCCACCTCCGAGTGTTTGTACGGCTGCATCTGCTGCGGCATTGGCTGTTGGAAATGCATCTGCTTCTTGCTGCCATAGTATTGCCTGGCGGCCTGTGTGTCGGAAGCGTGCGCAAGCAGGGACAGGCTGCCCCGGGGATCCTGCGAACCTTCGCAGTGCTGCCCGTGCTGCCCGTAGCGCTCGCTCGCCGCCTGCGCCGCCGCCGAGTTCTTCGCGTCGCGCTCACCGTGCTGCGGGCGGGCGTGCATCACGTGCTGTCCCCCCTGAGGCTGCAGATGCGACTGCAGGATGCCGTGCTCCTCCGCTGGGTCGCTCGAGCTGCGTCGGGTTGTAATAGCACCTTGGAGAGTCCCTGATCGTTCGGCGTCGAGTCCCATAAACGTACGATGGCTTTTACCTTTGTCGGCGTCGAAGCACACGGACGCCACGTGATTCATAATGACGGAGCGGGCGCTGCTCTGGTTGCTGGTGGTCGCTTGCTCCGAGCACCTTTGTTTCGAGGCATCGCCTCGCAGCACCTCTTCGGACAGCTCTGAGAAGGGGCGGCCGCTCTGCTCCGAGTCTCCCTCCGCTCCCATCGACAGCGGCTGCCCGTGATAGGAAGCGACCGCCGGCTGGTGCAGGTCATTACGGGGCACGGGGGCGTCGTCTTCTTTGGCAACAGCGGCGGCTCCGTCGGAGGCCTGGCTGTGGGCGCTCTGCTGCCACTTGCACTGCTGTGATTGGGCATCCTGAAGCAACTGCTGCTGCTGCAGAAGCAGTTGATTGTGTTGATGATGCGAATACTGCTGTGCCAGCTCATGGCTCTGCAAGAACTGCTGATGCTGCTCATGTCTCGTCTGCTGATTCTGCTGCGCCTGCTGCTGGTGCTGTGAAAGCTGCTGCTCTTGAGCAAGATGTTGGCTGTGAAGTTGCGAGTGCAGCTCTTGCTGATGGTTCATCAAGCTGTGATTCGGTTGCACCAGGAGGGGTGCGATGTGCGCATCGTTTAGAATTTTCTGTTGTAGGAGCGACTGCCCCTGCGGCGGCTGCCCGTGCATGGGCGCCAGCGCTTGGGACTGCTGCTGCTGGTGATTTTGCGCAGCCGCACCGTGCTGCGCCGATTTCTGCGAGTACTGTGCAGAAGCCTGGGCCTGCAGATGCTGCTTGTGCTTTTCCGCCGCTGCCGCCTCTTGATTCTGCTGCAGAGGCCCGGGCCACAACTCCGCCAACGTCTGCCTGGACGTGCCAACGCCGTTGCTCGCTTGCGAAGGAGACGCCGCTGCCGCTGCCGCCGCCTTCGCCGCCTTCGCCGCCTTGCCCGCTCGGCCCTTGCCTGCCGACTGCTTGGTCGCGGCGCCGGCCAACTGGGCTCCCGTGCCGTTGGACAACTCGGCGAGCGCCTTCACCGCCGTCGCCTGCTCGGGGCTCATCTGCTGCTGCAGGGCAAAGTCGAGGAAGCTCTGAAAGAAACCGGAGAGGTGAGCGTTTGGCCCTTTTTTGTTTTTGCTGCCGGCGAGCGCCAAGGCGGGAGAGCTGCACCTCTCCGCCGACACGCTGCCGCCAGACGCCGCCGCGGAGTTTCCGACGCCGCCGTTGCCGAGCGAAGCCTGGGCTGAGGGGCCCGGCGCGGCTCCGCTCGGCTCTGGAGTGGAGCAGCTGCCGCCAGCCTCGGGAGACCGCTCGCAGTCGTTCCCGCTCTCGGCGGCCGTCGTTAAATCGGGGCAGTCCGGGCCTTTGCAGTCGCAGTTTTCGGGCTTCCTCTCCGAGCACGCGGTGGCTTTGCAGTATCCCTGCTGGGCCGAGGCTGCTTCCGACAGGAAGAGCAGGGGGTTCGTGACGATGGGGCTGGGCGCCCGCTTGGCACTCTCATCCGGGCTGGGCGGGTACTCGCCCGTTCCGCCGTTCACCGCGGCGGCCTCGCCGCCTTCCGCCGCCAACGCGAGGCTGTCGGCCAACCTCAGCAGGTCCAGCTCCACGTCCTCCAACCGTGGCTTTTTGCTCGGCGGTATCGCCTGCGGGCACGAACCGTTTATGTGCCGCTTCACGCCATGGCAATTCTGTTCCGGCTCTGCGGGCTGCCCGTTCTCCACCACCACCTCCTTGCCCTGAGTGGAATCGTCCTGAGAGGAATCGTCCTGAGAGTTGTTCTCGTGCGGCAGGCCGTTGGGAGGCGGGGGCGCCGTCGGGGATGGCGAGCGAGAAAGGGCGGCGAGCGACGGCTCCTGGCCGGGTTTTGCGGCGGCGGTGGCGGCTGGCGGCGTGGAATCTTCAGCGTCACGGGCGCCATCGCTGGACTGCCCAGCGGGGTCCGGAGGTCGTGACTTCCTCGAGCCATTGACGGCCTTGCTCCTTGCAGCTGCCTACAAAAACACACCACAGACACGCACACACACACGTTGTAGATGTGCGGCCAAGCCAGAAAACACTGACAAATTATTGAAATATTAAAACGTTCCTAATTCGGCGACCCGAGTTGACTCTTGGTTGCGACTAATACCGTCGGTGGGCGATGTGTAAACCAAGTGCTGGGGGGCTCCACCTTCACCAACCCCCACGAACCAGTGTGGAGAAGTATAATCCAACAACCTCTATGACCGACACAGCGGAACGGGTCGAGGGGACATCCACCGAGGAGATGGAGCGATGAAATCAGCTCATCTGCAGGTGCTGGGTGGATGATTACATCGAAGGAGCAGGAGAGGCCTTTACCCAGCGGTGGTATTTATGGAGTACAGTTACTGTGTCGTGTTTCACAATGCAAACTAAAAAACATATATATAAAAAAAATGTTTGCCAGAGAAGGCCCCACTGAGCTATGTAGCTCTTTTTCGGAAGCTACCTGGTCGCATGTGACAGCTCAACAAAGTGGCCTAACACGTGGAAATGTATAGCAGCCCAAGTCTAAACGCATGTTTCTAAAATGTGGAGGGAAAAACCGGACTCCCCGGAGAAAAATACATGTGAGCACGGGGAGACCATGCAAACTCCAAATATACAGGCGTCAGGGTCAGGATCCATGACCTCCTGCATATCAGGCGAGGTAGTTAACATCTCATCACGCAAGTAATACCAGCGGGGGAGCAAGGCGAATGAAATTAAATGGCAGCACAGCTGGCAGAAGCAACGAGAACATGGTGGCGCACACGGTGAGTTCGGTCCGACTGTCAACCACCACGCTCCCACCGTAATCCACCAAACTCGGCAGCCTCACATGACCATCAACCACCACAACCACAGGGGCTCTCTCGCTCTGCAATGGCGCACGCGTCCACAAGGCCGCAGAGTCTAAACATCTCTCGGCTCGGTCATTAGACAATGCCGGCACCACCAACGTGGGTCACGAGACGCCTCTCGCAACTAAAATCCGGACACCACGACTAAGCGTTGGTAGGCCGGGATGATTGTGCAAAGCCGATTCTGCATCCCCCGGATTACAAGGCACATTTTGCGTTCCTCCGTATTTCAAAGCATTAGCTGGGGGGGGTTCCGTGTTATAATCCAGAGAATATGGTATTCTTCTCATATTTTAATCATTGCAATGAAATTGAAAGTTACATTTGTTCCGACATCCCCACCCTTCCCACATCCACCCCAAAAGCGCAAGTTAATAAACAAGACACGAATTAACTAAACCTCTTTCCAGAAAGCTAATTTACAAAGAAATTTAAGTGGATGCCAAGTTCTCCCCACCCCCCACGCCGCCACCCCCACCCCCGGGCTCCCATCTGATGTCGGGGACAGCCAGTAAACTCAAGGAGATTCAATTCACACGCCGCTTGCGTCACAAGAATCGCGAGCACGGAGCAACACAATCGGACAAAAGCCCGGTCTAGACGGTGCACATTACAGCGCCGCGGGATGCATACTGAGCCAACGTTGTGCGCGGGAGACGTGACGACGCTCACTGCGAGAGGGCGCTGGGCCCCGGCCACCTGATCGGGGCTCCAGCCCGCCCCCCACCCTCGCAAGGTTCTGGAGAATATCCCTTCTCTCCCGAACGATGCGGGGGGGGGGGGGGGGGGCTGGCTCTTCCCACCTAAAAATGTCCCTTTCTCGCTCGCACTCAAATACTTTCAGCCTATTCATATTCTTGGTTCTTTCGGTAAAGTCATGTTGAAGGGAAACAATAATATATATAAAACAATGAAATTCTCACGACGTTTCGACTGTAACACAAGCAGTCATCATCAGGTGTGAAAAAAAACCTGATGATGACTGCTTGTGTTGCAGTCGAAACGTCGTGAGAATTGTATTGTTTTAATATATATTTTATTATTTTATTGTTTCCCTTAAACGTGTATATATTTTATTATTTTATTGTTTCCCTTCAACGTGACTTTACCGAAAAAACCAAGAATATGAATCACTGCATTCACGAAAGCTTTAAATCAAAATTTCACCCTCTTCTCTTGCAAAAGTGGCTTCCGTAGACCGTCAAAACCCTGGTGTTGCTAAAACAATGCACCTGCTGAAAATCCATCTCAAAGCAGCACCCCCCCCCCCCCATCCCCCCCCGCTGCTTACTGCCAAATTTTACGAATTAATTACACAAGGTCCACTACAACCTCAACCCACTGTTTTCTTACCGGGAATTGTGATCCTACTCGCTGGGCTCGGGGTTGGCTGCCACCTGATTGGAGCACCCTGTCCCATCACACGTCCAACCCAGCGCAACCGGTTTTTCGCCCCCCCCCCCCCATCCCTTAACCACAACAATCACGTCTGCATGGCTACCTCCTGTCCTGCGAAGATATTCCCAGCATCCGCCTCAAGACACCGGTCCTTAAATGCAAATAAAGAATTATTTACAAACTGCCTAGTTTAAAATCTATAAACATGGATATCACTCCCACCTAAAAACTGCCCTGTCCATTACACACCTGACCTACCCATCGCATCTAGTTTCCATAGTCCATCTAATACAAGCCCTGCTCAACAAATACACCTTCTGCAAACTCCTTCTCAAAGCCCCCTGGGGCAATATGGACATTATTGCCCAAGTACACAAAGTCCACTACCCACCTCAATCTTCTCTCCCTCCAACTGGGGACTCGTGATCAGACTGCAGGAGCCACTTTTGGTCTACACCCTCAAGCGCCAGGGCCGCACACTCTCTACGTCTTCGGAGGCTGAGTGCCCATCTATCGCGCACTAAACCAACCCAAAGGCTCTTTTCATAGCCACCCACCTCTTCTAAACTGCTTGTGCGCCAGTGTTACCAAACCGTTCACGAAATAAACACTTTCTAAATGGGGCACATGTCCTGGGTTGTTGCGCGCCAATTCCTCCTGAGCGTGGACCGGGCTCTTCTCGTGGAATCGCAGCCGCGTGCGCGCTCTGCTCAGGAGTCGCGAGGGACGCGCGGTGGCTCGGGGTGCCGTCTGCTGCTGCTCTGTGCTCGGTTAAGATGTTTTCTTGTTCATGTTTTTTGTTTGTTGCGGTTGCACCAGATTCAAGAGCCGAATGGCTCGCAGGGCTATACCAAATAAATGAAACTGAAACGTTTCTCATGAATGCTAATAGCCTCATCTTAGGATAGCTCGCATCTTCTTCAGACCCTGGCAGTGTCTGGCCTAAATGCCTAAAAAAACTACCAAAATAGCTGCACGCCCCAAGCCAGAAAAGCTGTATCATGTGCCTACTCAAAGTTCTGCATGTTCATCTAACCCCCTGTTATTGACTTCAGGAATTATATTTTTTGACTCTGCAAACTCCGATCTGTGGTTTTAGTGACTACGTTAGGCAAGCACGGTCCATACCATTCCACTGCCTCCTTGTCTTTGTGTACCCGCAGGCCTCCCGAGTCGCAACTCCCAAGTCGTTAAGCAGCCGACCAAAATCTCACCTGGGATGCAGTAGCGGCCACAAAAATTTAGTGCGCACTTAGATCGGGCAGGGAGGGGGGGGCTTCATGAGATTTGATCTTTGTGGTAGGACAGTAGATAGGGAGAATGATTATCTGGATTTACTTTGTAGAGCTTGAGCAAGATTATAACTTTTGTGTGGCCGATGGGGGTGGGGAGGGATTTTCTCCCAAGTGCTTTTCTACCTGGATCTTTATCCTGTTTACCAAAGATTCTGGCAAATTACCTTGCCCCCCCCGCCCCCACTAATCTGTGATACAGTGTATAATTACACTGTACATATATATTATTGTAATAATTGCTGCAGAAAGCAACTCGCACATAAAAGTACAAATGTGACCGTCAGATGTTAGAAACGTAAATATAAATAATAATAAAAACACAAGCACGAGGTTCAGGAAGCTCTTGGCACAGCCCTCTCTCTGCACGCGAGCCACCCTGACTAAGGAGACACTTAAGACGACATTACAGACAAACGGGACCACCCCTTTCCACACACACCACCCCCACCACAACATTGGTATGTTTACAGTGAAGGCCTAACAAAGCTGTCGCCGCCCTTCGTCGTCTGCATGAAACTGTGATTTACAATTGACAACAATGGCACCAACAAAAGCAGGGAGTTTTACCCGTCTCTCTGCGTGATCCGCCAACCCTCAGCCCCGACGCGTGAAAACCTGTTTCTGGTACAGATTTCTGTATTTGGCATTAGCAGGGTCGCCCCCCCCCCCCCCCCCCAAATAAACATGGAACGTTGTTGGGCCAACGGTTCCAACCCACACGGCCAACGTTGGCACGTTCGCTGGATCAGGGCCACCGACAGCATCGCTCGTCTGCACGGTGGAAGCTACTTTCGTCTTCGGTTCAAACACAAAAATAATCCATGCGTCGCTGCGCCAGAGCGGGGCGGGAGGTGGGGGGGGGGTATCTCGGCGGGCTGTTTACCAGCCGCGGCGTCCGCGACGCACGGGAGTGAAAGAGTCGATTCATTTCTCGCATCGGGTGCCCGCCGCCGCAAACGTCCGCTGCGCTCAAGACTACGACACGGCGATCGCGCGATTCATCCAGCGTGTGGTTTGTGTGTACGTCCACGCGCGTGAATGTTTATTCACGTGTACGCTAGATTCACATTCATGTGTAGCAGGTTTGTCCAAACTGCTTCCGCGCACGTGTGTACACGCCGCACACGGAGGCTTGCATAATGACCATAAATGACTTCATTCAAAACAAGGTGAGCCGAGCTACAACCAGGGGCGTCTGCAGCAATGTAAACAAATGTGTAACAATTGGCAATCTCTTGAGAAGTTTGTTGCACTTTACAACAGAGTAGAAAGTCAAATGGAATGTCTCCTACAAACTACCACCACCTTTGCCACAATCACCACTGCGCCACCACCAACACACAACCACTGCTCACTCCTTTACAAGTAAAAACAAAGCGGGGCGAGTTTGGCGCATGCGGCACCACACGGAGTCGATGAACCCGGCTGTGAAAA